CATGCATCGACCCATATGTCTCCAGTTATGTCATTCTTCAACGCACGGGACTCAGTCCTCTTCTCCTCATAGTTATACGTATAAACTATAATGTACAGTAACTGAGCATGCGCATCCGGGGTTCCCGCCAGACTCCGGCTCCCCCGGATCAAGGCTGCCGTGTTTACCTGGGTAAGAATATTAACTAGTACTCCGTACCTACATATGAATTGCCTGTCTCACACGTGCACTTCTTTGTAGACTTCGTATAAAAACACCGTACTAATCATAATGCATACGAAGTACTATAGAGACAACTTCCTTTCCTCCGGGGTCCAAAAACTTCTTGGTACGGGGTTTTTCTTTTCGCTTCCCCAAGGGGCCCAAAATGCCCAGAACGGTCGTCTCCAGTCTTTTGTGGATATTTACGAAGGACTACTCGCTTCGCCAAGTACGGAGTGCATGATTGCGGTCCACGTGAATTCATGGTTGAGCTGTCTAGCTTACGGAGTACACACTAAGTACACAGAAGGTATGGATGTACTCGATGTTTGGAGTCCAACAGTATACATCGAAGTGCCAACAGATCACCAACAATACCAAGACTCCAAGACCCCCAAGACGTCAACAGCTATCAGCCATCCCTCTTGTCACGCCATACCCGTATGCACATCTTACTCAGACTCAAGCCTCCCACGTCCCAAGACGAAAGCCCTCAGCCAAGCGGGATCATCCGCCGGCCAAGGAAACACCGCGAAGCCATACCTGTCGCGGGCGCCGCGCACGGCTGTCTGACTTGTCTTGTCGTCGACTGGTGGCGTTTGGGCTATTGGATCCTTGTTTCTTATGGCGCGTGTTTTTTTCTTGTGGACGGGCCGGGATTTGGTTAGGTTGGTTTTGGTTTAGTCTGGTCGGTTTATTTTGGATTATATTGCCTATCGTTGACAAGTACACCGTGTACGTAGACTCTGTATGGGGTAGTGTACATGCCAATACTGAGTGACAGCGTACACTACCGACTAAGGTAGAAGAAATTAACGAAGATTGCAAAGATAGACACTGTGTACATACGTCAGAGATCACGGGTTGAGGGGGATCGACGGCCCTATGGATTCCTTTGGTTGGATGGGCTGTTAGTTGGAGTTTGCGGGGTTTGTCCGGGAGAAATACGGAGATAATTTCACGATGTAGGCTCTGCTGCGTACCAATGAACACTGAATAGTAAACACTGAACAGGTACATGTTTTGGTCTCATGGATACGAACTGGAGACCCCAGACGCAGCAGCAGCAGAACCAGCATGCTGGGTTCCACCCTTGCACGCGGTACCGAGTTCCAATTAATTGTCTTGCATGCCGAGCATGACGAGAACCAGGTATCCAGGTTGCTGGGAGGGAATGGAGAAATGGGGATAGAAAATATGGAGTTCCAAGCCTGGAGAAAACGAGGTCATTGGGTTTGGTTTCAGCCCCAGTCCGGGACACGGGATTTAGTTTATTTTTTCAATTTGATTCGATTTTTGTTGGGCCGGACAATAATGGACATTTTTCGGCTATCAAAGAGCAGTCGGTTCGGCGGAGCGGAAACCAAGCCAAACACCTTTTGCTCTTCGGCTTTATCTTTCACGCGGCTTTCCCGGTTCAATGTATGGATCAAGGCACTGGATTGGTACATTGTAGAACATTCTTTGTTCTAATTCTTTTTCCTCAGTTATGGACCTAGGCTGGATCCACCGGCGGAACAGCGGATCATGCACTTGCACAAGGTGGTCCTGGCCTTGATGGTTCAGGTTGAATGCAGCTTGAGTTCGGCCCCCGCATGTGCGGAGAGGGTCAGCTTTTTTAGGTAGGGATTGTTGTTTATTGGTGATGTCGCTGGATGAACAAAGTGATTGAAAGGTCTGGTGGGTTAGTTAGATCATACGATGTGTTTTGTCAAAGATTTTCGTCGGTTATTTTCACTTTCATTTTCGTTTCTCATTTTCCCCTCTAAAACTTGTTCTTTTCTAAAGTGGATTCCGGAAGGTGGCGGACTGGATCTGATAGCGTCAGATGATAGCCACGATTGATGACAATGATGCCATGTGTTGTTCATGGTCCACGCGAGAAAAGTGTATCTAGGCGATTGGGTTTAATGGTCCGTATACCTTGACTTTCTAACCCGAATGCTAAAAGTGTAAAGTGATCGATGTCAAGTTAGCATGCAGCCTCCAGCAGAGCACCACTTCGCACACTAATGTATGCATGCCGATCAATCAGGTCAACCCCCCAATTGATGAATGAAGATACCATCCACCCGAGTTGCAGTAGTAGACTGTAGTTTCCTGCGCTGGGCAAATCAGTTCGTAGTTCGTACAGCCTCGCAGAGATAGCAGCAACACTCACAATCTAGAGTTCATGAAAAAATTCGCCGGCCCTCTAGCACAGTGGGGGGAGAAGGGATCGACATGGAAAGGCGGTCTGGCTTTCTATCATGTATGGCTGCGAACAGTGGATTGTACGGAGTCCGGACACGGGTAATTGGAATGGCTTCATGAACTATTGATTGTTGGATTGATCGGTGGGTGGGACAAAGGCCGGATGGGTCGGTGCTAGAGAGTTCTTTCAGCTTCTGAGCTTCATCGCATTGATCAGTGGTGGGATATGTACTCGGGTAACTACGTGGATGATTCACCGCTATTGAAAATGATTTGAGTTGTTGCTGGTGGAATTTGTTGATCATGACAAAAGGCTAAGCTTCTCGATTACAAGAGATGAAGCTAAGAAGTTTCTGTTGTGGTGATTGTACAGATTGACCTTTTGGGAAGGCACGTGTCGAGGCGGGATTTGCTGTGGAGTTTGGACGTCATGGACTCTGTGATTTGCAATGATAAAAGCATTGACTGCGATTTGAAGTTGTCTTTGGCTCATTCTGAGCCCAGGTGACTGGGACTAACAGATTGAGGCCGGTAGAATCATGACTAGATCTTCCTTCTGATGAATCTGATGAACGACAGCCAGAACTAGCATCCAGCGAGTGTTGAAAGAACGCAGACTACCAACAATCAAAATATCATCAGATCGACAAACTGATTAACACAGCCATGCTCTCGACTTCAAGTTTCTACTCGTCGAGAACACTTCTCATTCGACAGCACAAGTGCATCATCCAACGCAGAATTCGCAGCAAGATAAATTTTCGCAAGCTATTTGCTACCATACACGATAATCTTCCGCTATCAAACTCAGATTCTACGTGACATCTAAGCCATTCGATCTTCTATCTCAGGACTAACGCCTGTATCTATCATCAACTTACTGTTCCTAATTTACCTCAAACGACCATTCAGATGCAACAACAAGACAATTCTGAGCGATAGAGACTCCAAGTGAGATCACCGCGCTCGTCGCGATACCGATTGACTTGATCCATATCAGGATGCGCTTGGTCAACGGTTCATCTTGCTCGTGTGTTCTGAAAATGCGGTGACTATGGTATGGCACTTTACCTTATAGGAGGACGAACCGAGAATTGCAAGATCAAATGGTAACATCCATGTGGTACAAGAGAGAATATAAGGACTTGATCCTTGTTTGTGCCAAATCCACTAATTACCTGCAGAACTATGAACATATGGGATTCTGGTAATTCGACACAGGCACCGCAACCATCGTTGATGCCATTGTTGCGCTCGGGCTGCTCTTATATAGGCGACCATTCCCGGGCCTAAAAGATCGTATCCTTGATCTTCGGGGACATTACCATGGCCGTTGTCGTGGCCGTCATTCTCGTCTTTCCCTATCATCCGATGAGCTCGAGGCTGAGACACGCTGGGGATATCCTAGTCATTGAGCGTCTCCAAGAGAACCAAACTGACATCTAGAACAGAGAATTCATGCTCGAGCAGTTTCTGGAAGTGTTAGAAGACCCTCAAACGTATCTGCTTATCGTCGTCCTCACCGCAAGAAACGTCCTTGACGGAGCCGTCAGCAGCCCCAAGGAAACCGAGCTCCCACCATTCCCAGCGGGATGGTCAGCGTGGCCAGCATCCTAATCATTACGCATCTGGCCGGTCGCTCTGACCAGCGATGTCTCTGCGTCATGGGGATACTAGCTTACGATCCTCTTGGTGGGTGTCTCGACACTTGCCAACGCAAGCCGCCAAAATGGCAGAAACTAATTAGCACCTCTCTTCCACTGATGTACTCTCTGATGCCAATCTGGCCAGCCATACGAGGAAAACCATACTGAACATTATCTTTCTCCTCTCTTTCTGTCTCGGTAATACCCTGGGCTTCTGAACATCACGCACCGAGGACGACCGGGACTACACCCCCGCGAATATAGTGATAGTAGCGGCGGTTGCAGTCGCGATTGTTGTATTCATCATACTGGAAACCTACTATGCCTTTGAAAACAGACGTGACAGAAAAAGGGTGGGCCTGCAGCATCAGGGAGATCCTGAAGTTTGGGCTTAAGGGACATGAAATCCCTAGAACTTCGAGGACCTTTCTTCTTTTTTTTTGTTCATATGGTTCAAATGAAGTAGAGCTTCTGGCAAAAAACCGAAAGGGAAAATCCTAAATGCGCATTCAAATTGAACTGACTCTAATAGACCAGAATCTATAACTATGCTGAAATCAACAAATCATCAACAATTTCGTCTTTGAAACCAACGTAACTATAGGGGGTTTCGATCTCTCTGAATCTTGCTGGCGGCACATAAGAAGTAAGGTTATGTGTCAATCAACCCGGAGTGGGATTTTGAGATCTGCATTGGATACACATCTTCCTTGCAAGAACTTTCTACTTCAGCAAGCAATCGAGCAAAGTCAGATGTTCTGGCAGGCTCTACAAGATGCTCGTTCCATGATAAAGCAATAGGAGCTAGACTTCATTGGGTAAGCGTACTAGGGCTAGGGCTCAAATCCCGGGGAAGATCCTCAGTCTTGTTGCATTTACACTCTACACTCTACTAATTACTAGTGAATGTCTTCAATTCCGGGTTATAACTCAGCAACGAAGCCCAAAGACAAAGTGGAAATGGATGGCCACAACACCCATCTCATGGCCTCCAGCCGCGGCCAAAGGGTGGCGATCGCTGAATCCAAAAGTCCCATGTCGGCTATCTTCGCCAATCTATACGATAAGGATTCCAACCCCGGCGGGCTATACAATGTTGGAGTCGCAGAAAACGTGCTGATGCACGATATTCTCCTGGAATATATCACCAAGCAACAACCAGACCTACCAGCCCGATACTTGACCTACAATCAAGGCGGCGGAGGCTCAATGCGATTAAAGGCCGCCATCGGCCGTTTCTTGACAAGACATTTCCACCCTGTGACGCCCATCCAACCGGACCATGTAGTCGTGACAAATGGACTGGCCGCTGCGCTTGAACACCTTTCATGGGCGCTTGCCGATCCGGGCGACGGTATCCTTCTGGGGAGACCTTACTACGGCGCGTTCATCCCAGACCTGTCCCTACGATCAGCCACGGAGGTGGTAGAAGTCGCCTTTGATGGATGTGACCCGCTGGGAGCTTCTGCCGCTCAGAAATACGAGCAGGCGCTACTAGACTTTCAGCATCGGACTGGAAAACAGGTCCGGATCTTGGTTCTCTGCCATCCTCATAATCCCCTGGGCCGGTGCTATCCCCGGGACACGATCATTCAATTAATGCGGCTATGCCAGAAATACGGGGTTCATCTAGTCAGCGATGAGATATACGGGCTTTCCACGTGGCAAAATCACATCGACGACGACACCAATAGGCCCCCACCCGTTGAATTCGAATCTGTTCTCTCAATCGACACGACCGATCTCATCGACAACCGTCTCGTGCACTGCCTCTGGGGACTAAGCAAGGACTTTGGCGCCAACGGGCTCCGTATCGGCGCAATCATCTCCCAAACAAACCGAACCCTTCACGCAATCCTATCAGGGACATCACCGTACTCGTACGTCTCCGGACTATCAGACCACGTAGCAGCCAGTCTTCTCGAAGACGACGCCTTCACAGCACAATATCTGCATGAGAATCGCCAGCGAATTGCAACGTCCTTCCATTTCGCCGCCCGGTACCTCAAGGACCGCGACATCGAATACGCCACGGGCTGCAACGCCGGCTTTTTCTTGTGGATGAATCTAGGCAAGAAGTACCTCGAGGTTCATCCAGACCGTCTCGCCGAGCTGACGGGGGATGCACTCACCGAGGAAATCATGCGGCTGCTGGTGAGCAAGAAGGTCTTCCTTGCGAGTGGACTGGCGTTCGGCTCGGAGCAGCCCGGGTGGTTTCGAATTGTGGTTTCGCATCCGGTGGACTTTCTTCAGGAGGCGCTTCGACGCGTTGAAGCTGCGGTATGCGAGTAGATGTGTGGATGGGTTTCCTGTGCTAGGCTGGCTCTGAGCTCTAGACTGGATACTGATAGGCTCTCCGTTGCTTGCGCTGACCAAGAAGGCAAAGGCCTCACTAGTGGCTTTGGCTATGGTATTTGGTGGGACTTTGAACTCGGCTTTTTCTTGGGGTCGACTAGCGATGGTCGACAGATACGCAAGTACGGTGATGTGTATGCCCTGGTTTAATGTGTAAGGCTGACCTCGTTTATATAGTTCGCGTGGATAACATTAAAGATCCAGACATTGAAAATGAACTTCTCTATCAAAACAACAATCTAAAGCTATGCATGCTATGCAGTCAAACAGAAACAACCCAACGCCTTGTCAATGCCACATCATGATATACAAAAATAACAACCCAACAAATCAAGCCGCCGCCTGAACAGCCTTGAACTCCTCGCTGAACTCATAGTCGACGTATCCCTTCGGATCCTTAGGCAGATAGAAGACGTCTCTCTCATACGGCCGCAAAGGCAGACCAGCCTTAACCATGAACGGCAGATCCGGGTTCGCGGTCCAGGGCCGTCCAATCGCCACCAGAACATCATGGTCCTTGTAACGCTTATCAACCGCCTCCTTCGCCGACTCAGGCTTATACCCACCAGCGACCATCACAGGCCCAGCGCCGCTGTATGCATGAACAAAGAAATCCAACGACTCGCCCGTCTCATTAACATCCGCGTTGCCGGCCACGCGCGCCTCCACGACATGGACATACGCCAACTTAAACTCCGCCGTCTTGCGCGCCAAGTACTCGAACTGCGGGATGGGGTCCGCCATGCGCATACCCTGGAACGTACTGAACGGGCTGTAGCGGACAGCGGTGCGGTCCGCGCCGACAGCGTCAACGACGCCACGGATCGTCTCGAGAGCGAAGCGCGCGCGGTTCTCGACGCTGCCACCCCAGGCGTCGGTGCGCTGGTTCGACGTGTCCTGGATGAACTGGTCGATCAGGTAGCCGTTTGCGCCGTGGATCTCGACGCCGTCGAAGCCGGCGGCGATGGCGTTACGGGCCGCCTGGACGTAGTCGGCGATGAAGGCGCGGATCTCGTCCTCCGTGAGGGCGCGCGGGACGGGGGCCTCCGGACTGACGGGCGTCGCGCTGGGGCCGGTGAGATCGAAACCGCCCTGCTTCAGCAGGTCGGGGCTGGCGACACGTCCGAGGCCCCAGAGCTGCATGTAGATGTAGGATCCCTTGGCGTGGACGGCGTCCGTCACGGTGCGCCAGGCGGCGATCTGCGCGTCACTCCAGATGCCCGGGACGTTGGGGAAGCCGCCGGCGCGGGGGGAGACGAGGGTGGCTTCGGTGATGAGGAGGGTTCCGGGGACGCTGGCGCGCTGCTCGTAGTGGTCTTTGACGATGGGGAGGGGGACGTGCTCGTCGTCGATGCGGAAACGAGTCATCGGGGCCATGGCGATGCGGTGAGCGAGGGACATGCGCCCGACGTTGATGGGAGCGAATAACTTGGACATGGTGGAATTGAATTGAACAGGACTTTTCAATGGGACAGGACTTTCAAATGCGAATTACAGAGGAAAGAACAGAGAACAAAGAAGTGTAGAGTCTATTCCTCTAGAATATCTCGTATATCGTGAATATGAGTAAATTGGATATCTAGATCCTCCCCAGCGACCAAGCCCCCTTATAAATAACACCCCCCGGGGCAACTGCTTTCTCCCCGGAGACTTTCTGCAACGAACGCCCTAGAAAACGCCTGACTCGGGTTGATTTCCAATCCGCAGAAATCAAAGATTAAAAAAAATGAAGATCCACTTGTGCAGGCAAATCGCCCTCCAATGAGGCATCGCTGCCTGGGGCCTTCCACGTCGGTGGTTCTCCGTAACTCGATTTGATTGGTAAAGAGCAGGCTGACAAATGGGCAGAAACTCGGAGTTCGGCATTTTAATTAATGGATTTTGATATTATTAATTCATTTATCTTCTTGTCCTTTTTCTTATTGTAATTAAAGTTTTATCGCATGGCGGAGTTAGACATTGCCTCGACAATCTATTCTCAGTTACGAGGCAAAAGTATGAAAGATCCATGGATACAGAAACAGAATCGCTGACAGACAGCCTCGAGCACCGTTGGCCCTATCTTTTGCCCTTGGCCCTTACCCTGAAGGCGTTTGGCCCCCAAGGCTGAGCTTAATTTTAGCGCCCAACAGCATGCAGCCCCGGTTCTACCCCAGTTCTTATTTCAGGTACTAGAGGGTTCATCGCTTGGCTTGGATGGCTGCAAGGCAGAATCAGGCAATACCTAGACGAGGCTACTGGGAGATCATCCATCTAGACGGGCCATTACGAAAACATACAGCATCCTCAGAGATGAGCATGCTTTCACTTTCAGATAAGAGAACTTTGATCGATTTCCTCTCAATGGCTTAATAGCTAAACAAAGACACGAGTACTCAAATAACGCTGATCAAACACTACGCTGAATAACTCCAAGGAAAATAGAGAATGATGGAACATGAAATATCAAACAGGAAATTGAGAACATGCCAGTCAATCAATCGGACTCGTCCCATTCGCTCATGTCATACAATATACCCTCGTGCAAGTGATAACAAAAGTAATGTCAGCAGTAATGATAATGACAATAGTAATGATAGGGCTAATGCATCCAGTCCAATTCAGACACGAAACGCCGTTCATTCATCCGTAGTCCATCTATCCATGTAATCACCTAACTTGAACACCAAGTCTGGATAGATGGGTGATAATAGTAGTCGAAGGGGGTATTTCAACGATTAACAAGAAGAGAAGAACAAAAAACCGAAAAAGGGCACAATCGGAACAGAGAAGGAAGAGAAGAGGTTAGCTAAGTAGCAAGCAAATCGCAAACTGGTCGGCTGAACGAAAGAAAACAGACGAGAAAGGAAGAAGGAAGAATCCTAACTCTCCAGTCTCCGCGCAGTAGATTCCAACTGCGCGTTGAAAGCTCGGATCTGTGATAACAGACCACCCTGAGCTCCAGAGGCCCTGGAGCTCGCGTTTTCCGCGACGTTGCGCAGAAGAAACTCGAGGCCAACAGTTGGGGAGGAAGTAGAAGAGGAGGAGGAATCTTGGGGATTGGTCGAATCGGTGGATTGAGGTTGCGGCTTCTTGCTTCGTTCGAGAGCGAGATCGATGTTGTGGAGGGAGTGGTTGATTGTTGAGCGAGTCTGCATTTCAATTAGTTTGTGTTTCTCGTTCGGTGATGGAGGAAAGGGGAAACTAACAGCTCTGGCATTCTCTTCTTCCGAATGTTTCTTGCGCACGGCGTCCATGCGCAACGCGACTGCCTCGCGTTCTTTGCGGAGCTGGAACAGTCGAGTACGCTGGTCCAGCATCTCCCGCTTAGACTTCCTCAGCTGCACGCCCAAAACAAAGTTGCTGTCGAGCATCTCGCTGAGCTCGTAGAGCCGGCCCTCGAGCTCGGTGCCGTAGGCCTCGACGGCCTTCTTCTTGCGCGCCCATTCCGACCGGCGCGCAGCATTGCCCTCGTTTTCGATGCCGTTGTTCAGCGTTGTGAGTGTCTTTTCGAGCGTTTCGCGACATATTTGGCTGAGGACGTCGGCGACGTTGACGCCGCCTCGGGTAGGCAGTTTAGCCTTTAGTCGGGTGGAGAGCTCTTCGGCGGTTTCTTCGTCGTTTTCATCGTCTTCTTCTTCGTCGGACGAGGTGCCGGTAAGGGGGGCACCGCCGAGAGATGCAACGTTTGCCAGACGGTGCACAGTCACTGGTACGGCTTCGCCGCGAGGTTGTCGCGGCTTTCGCTTAGGTCGGGAGGTGGTTGATTCTTCGACATTGCCCTGGGTCGCACGTTCTTCAAGCTGAGGTGTTCTGTCGTCCTTTGATTGTGACGGTTTGCCACGGCCACGTTTGCGAGTCGATGGTTCGGGTTGAGGTTCAGGCTCAGGCTCCGCTTCGGGTTCGGGTTCGGGTTCAACTTCTGGCTGGCGCTCTGGTGCACTATCCAATTCAAGTTCTGGCTCCGGCTCCGGCTGCGACTCACGCTCTTGGGTCTGTTCCTGCTCTTGTGCTTTTCGTGCTTTCCTACCCTTGCGACCCGGTCGGGGTACCTCTTCAGACATTTCCGCCGGTTCAGCTTTCTTTTCTCCGCGTCCAGCGCGCTTCGGTTTCTTGTTTGCCGCCGCCTTCAATCGTGGCTGGCGACTTTCGTCATGACTCGTAGCATCTGTCTCAGGAAAACCTTCCACCTGTGCCGGCTCAGTAGCTGGTTGTTCCTCCGCAGCAGCGACCTCTGGCGTGGAGTTCCTCGCGTTTCGGTTGCGGAGGCCTTGGGGTCCTCGACGCGGAGGTGATGGCTCCTTTGCTGAGTTGTTCTCGGGGAAACCAGCCGCCTTCTCTGCCGTTTCCTCGCCTGGCGCCGGCGATTTCTGGGCAGCCCTTTGGGGTCGGCCTCGGTGTCGTTTCGTTGGCTGAGGCTGAGGCTCCGACTGCTCCTTCTCCAGGAGAGTATCTTGTGGTTCTTCTGGTGGTGGAAGTTCGACCTCCTTGTCGCCCGATTCTAAGGCCGTAACGCTCTGCGGTGGAGAACGTCCACTCGCACTGGAACCCCGTCTTTTGCGCTTGCCTCTGGTGGCTTTCCGTGGCTCTTCCGCCTGCGAAGCTTCTTTGGGCTGCTGAGATGTCTCGCTACCGATCTCGGGGCTGCCGCCCTGAGCAGGTCGTGCACTTGCACTGGCTCCTCGTGTTTTCCCCTTGCCTGAAGAAACCTCCAACGGCTGATCTGGCGTCGGAACTTGAGGCGGTTGCTGTGCACTCTCACCGACAGATCTTGGGCTTGCGCTCTTCGAAGGACGTTCACCAGCACTGGCTCCCCTCGTCGTCCGTTTACCTGTCGGGGCATCTTGAGGCCCGTTCGGTACTGCAGCTTGCGATTGTTGGATACTTTCATCGGCGATCCTTGGGCTTGCGCTCTTCGAAGGACGTTCACCAGCACTGGCTCCCCTCGTCGTCCGTTTACCTGTCGGGGCATCTTGAGGCCCGTTCGGTACTGCAGCTTGCGATTGTTGGATACTTTCATCGGCGATCCTTGGGCTTGCGCTCTTCGACGAACGTGCTCTTGCGCTGACAACTTGTGGTTTCCCATCTCCTGCAGAGGCGACCACGGGCTCCTCCGGTGTTGGAACCCTTGCTGACGGTTGAATACTTTCGCTGACAGATTTGGGACTTGCGCTCTTTGACGAACGTGCGCTACCGTTGGTGCCACGTGTCTTCCGTTGGGCTGTCGGGGCTTCCACTGACTGCTCCGGCGGTGGGAATTGTGCGGGTGGTTGAGCACTATGGTCGACTTCTGGACTTGCGCTCGGGCGACTACCGGCCGAGGATCCTCGTGTTTTACGCTTGTCACCTGGGCTATCAATGGAGTCTTCCGGCTGGGGAGGTAGCGCTGCTTGAGAGGCATCGTCCTTGGCCACTGGACTTGCGCTTTGCGATGAACGTTGGTCTGCGCCAGTTCCTCGTTTGCGTTTACTTCTCGTAGAGTCGGCAGGCGATGACCTGTCAGTAGGTTGGGAGACTGTTTGTTGGGCCGGAGGCGATTTCGGTTCAACCTGGTTAGAGTCTGGCTCTCCGCCCAATTGATTTCCCGGCTCGTTCGTCGGCACATCAGTAGGGCCTTCATGAGGCAACTGCTCCGGTGACGGTTGTACCGGTTGTTGTTCGGGTGATTTATGAGTCAAGACTTGGGGCGGATTCTCAGGTGCAGGCTCCGGTGCAAGTTCTGGTACAGGCTCGGGACCATTTTCAGATGGCTTAGGCGGTGGTTCGGGTACGTTTTGAGGCGACCCGGCCGGGGCGTTATTGACGACAGGAGATGTAGTGATTGTCTCGGTCGTTTGGATCCCATGTTCCGTTGCATTCGTGGCAGTGGGGGCTTCAATTGGTTCGTTAGGGGATTGGACTGGCGGGGTGCTCTGAGTGCCATTCTGCAGGGGCGAGGAGCGACGCGGGGATATCCTTCGACTCGTGGGCGGAGATTCTGCGAAACGAGTAAGCCAAAGCCATCCATCACGGCAATTACACCATAAGCACACCAATCTTCCGGCGTTTGCTGCTACGTCCTAGGTCCGGCGCCTCATCTGCGGGGACATCGAACGTCGACGGCCGTTCGGGCAGTCCATTACGCGCGCTTCCCGGTGTCCGCTGGGACGAACTCCGGCTGAGAGGCGGAGGGGTGTTCTGTATCGCCGGTACCAGAGGAGGTTGCGAGCTCTCTGGTTCTGAGGGAGCAGAGGGGGCGGGGGGTCCGTTCGCCAGTTCGGATTGCGACGCGGGTTCGGAGGGTTCGTCGGGCGGCGGAGCCAGACCAAAGGAGAAACCAAAGTCGACTTCCTTGATTTTGCGGGTCCTATCCTCATTGTTTGTAGCATCAGTAATCAATTGAGGACGCCAATTCGTCGCGCAGAGGAACGGGGGGCTTACGCTGCTCCGCGCTGCCGCATTTGCAGCCGCTCCTCTCGATCTATTGTCATCGGGTTAGTTTTGACGCGACGCGGGACAAGAGGGGAGACGACGCACTGTTATTCATGGTCGAGAAGCGGCGCTCAGCAAGCTCTGCGCGCAAAACACGCGAAAGATGTGGAATAAGGGGGAAGGGAGAGGAGACGTGATAAGAGGGAACGAGGGGAAAAGGTAGAAGTAAGAGAAGTCGAGAGAGAAGGAAGTATGCGATGGGAGAAGAAACGGAGCGCTGAGCAACTCCGCCCAATGCGGTTTGGCGGCCCCGACAGGCCCGGTTTGGTCGGTCGCTTTTTGCTTTCTCTCCGCATCTTCAACTTCTTCGTCTTCGCCCTCAGCTTCAGCTTCCGTGTCCGTCACTCGCTGTGTCCAATTGCACTATTCCCTGCGGAGTTTCCTTCCCGATACACGTCTACTGCCACATACAATGGGTTGGTTCTGGGGCAAGTCCGATCAAGAGGATCCCGTTAAAAAGCTGGACCCGGGTCTCCGAGAATACCTCGAACATGAAGCCCCCAAGAAATACGTCCCTACGACCCCGGAGCCCCCCAAGCCGGTAGATGCGCAGAAACAGCCGTCGCAAGCGCCTCCTGTCTCCGATGCCGACGAGTCCTCTCAACCCGCCCTGCCCAGCGCCTCGCTCTTTCCCGACGGGCGCTATGCCCACCTCTGGAAGACCTACAAGCCTCCGGCCGGCGAAGAAAATCAGAAAGGCGCGGAGCGAGTCATTGAGAAGTACAAGCAACGTGGTGATACCGTACATCGGGCCGCTATGGAGAACTGCGCGTTGGAGCACGAGGACTTGACATACTGCTTCCAGACTGGCACTTGGTCGAAACGATTGAAGTCGCGCATGTCGATGTGCCACGAGGAGAACCACACCTTCTCTCGCTGCTTTACCACCCAGGCGGTAGGTTCTTGTTCCAGGCTACGAGCTCGGTCGGCTGGTCGTCGCAACGTGAGCTAACATGGATTGTCCGGTTTAGAAATTCCTCCAGGCACTCGGCTACGCCGCGGCGTTCAACTGGGACCCCGAAAGAGAAGAGCGCATTCAGATGCACGCCGACAAGCTATATCACGAAATGATCAACTACGAGAAACAGGTCGAGGAATCCAAGGCGGCGGGTCAAGCACCGCCCCCCATCACGTCTCTGTTCAATCCCCAGGCCACGCAACAGAAATCCGAAGGCAATGCTGATGCGCTGGAAATCCCCGGCGGAGAGGCCATCCCGGCCGGATTCAAGCCCTCGAAACCCTTGGAGAAATTGTCCCCTCACGAGCGGGAATTGGAAATTCGCTCGCATTATGCACAGATGGAGCAACAGAAACTATATGCGCAGGAGGCCTCGCCATTTGTGAAGGCGCAGGACGAGGCTCGAAACAAGCGACGGGAGAAGGCTGTGAGCTGGTTCGGAGAGACGGTGGGCAAATGGATCACGTAAATCGAGATAACTGGATAAAAAGGAATCTTATGCTCATGTATTATAATTGTCATCCTTACTTCTTGGTGTTACCATTGATTGTTCGAAGTGCTTGTGGATGTTCATCTCTGATTTGATAGCGAGTATGCAAATGGACGGCGTTACTAGGAAACATCAATGTGAAGGGCGAGATTCAGGAAAATAAGACTGAATTACGAGTACTTATTCAATATATTTGTTAAAAATTCTGAGTTACGATTCTGTTGATTCGCGTTGGTCCAAGAGTGGGAAGGAGGGAGTATACTTCTCAGGTGTCCGGGAATATATAACCTTTCTTCTTTCTCTCTACAATCACCACTACAGCTGCAGACAGTGGAATCAGCTTCAACTGAACACGCCCAAATCCCGATCAAGGGACCAATACAGTCAGACCCATAATCCACCGTCCGAGCAATCGCCGTCCGTTCAATAAATCTGAATCAGAACCATCTGGTCAATTAATGCTGACGGTCACGTTGTCGCTCATTCGCCCGAACGCGGAGACGCCAAACGACAAGCGAGAAACAACGGCGACGAAGGGGAGAAAGAAGAAGAATCAGAAGAAGAAACTTCGGCCAGACTCGCATCTACCGGAATCCTCGCTCCTTTTCCCTCTCTTTCATCCACCTGCCCAGCCTGACTGACGGTGATCCCCCCCTCATTTAACCGTGTTGGACGGGCCTGTTCCACGGCTCCTGACTGGATTCCTCCGCGTTTCTCCATCGCTTCTTCCTTTTGCAACTTCTTGTCTCAACTCTCAGCTCCTTTCCCCCTTCCTCTCCTACAAGCTTGATCTCTCGACAATTCCTCCCTTTCTCACCTCTCAACTCTCGGCGATCGTCCTCTATCTGTCTTCGGGGAGCCCATTGAGCTCCCGTGCTCACCATGAAAGCGACTCCGTTGCTCATCTCGTGGCACAACGATAACGCTCCCATCTATTCGGTACATTTCGATCCCCATGGCAAAGGGCGCCTAGCAACGGCCGGAAAGTAGGTTCGCCTGGATCTCTCTTGCATCTCGTTTTCTCTTTGGAAATGTCACCTGCTAACGCGATCGCCCTCCAATAGTGATAATAATGTCCGAGTACGAGCTCCATTCCCCTCCCTCTTCCCCGTCGGATCTTTTCTCCTGCCGCTTCTACCATACCCCCTTCGCCGGCCTTTTCTGACCTCAGAACGCGATAGTTATGGCGCGTGGAATCTACCGGAGAGGAACGCAAAGTGTCATATTTGAGCACGCTGATCAAACATACGCAAGCCGTCAATGCTGTGCGGTTCAGTCCCAAAGGTAGGCAGCGACAACCCCCTCTCCCACTGACTGTGTCTAACGCTACATTCTAGGCGAGATGCTGGCGTCTGCCGGGGATGATGGAAATGTATTGCTCTGGGTTCCGTCGGAATTGCAAACCCAAGGTGGCTTGGGAGAGGACCGATCGGACGATAAGGAAACATGGCGAGTCAAACACATGTGTCGCTCGTCCGGCGCAGAGATCTACGATTTGGCTTGGTCTCCAGATGGCGTCTTCCTAATCACGGGGAGCATGGATAACATTGCTCGGATTTATAACGCGCAAACTGGTTGGTAGCCTCGGCTTGTCACTCCGAAAATCCTTTGAAGAGGGTTTGTGCTAATGGTCCGACTCTTCTCTCCCAGGACAAATGGTGCGCCAAATTGCTGAACATTCCCACTACGTCCAAGGCGTGGCATGGGATCCTTTGAACGAATTCGTCGCAACACAGTCATCGGACCGATCCGTGCATATCTACAGCCTGAAAACGAAAGATGGCCAATTTACGCTGACCTCTCACGGGAAATTCTTGAAAATGGACTTGCCGGCCAAACGCATTGCTTCGAGCAGTCCAGCTCCGGACCTCTCGATCCGGTCCCAGCCGGCCACCAGTAACGCGGCTGCGATCACATCTCCGGCGCCGTCTACACCCGGCACCCCAATGGCCTCGAATCTGCCCATGGACCCCCCTCCAGTGTCCCACAGTCGAAGATCCTCCTTTGGCTCTTCCCCGTCCATTCGCCGATCCGCATCCCCTGCACCATCCTTGCCGTTACCTGCAGTCAAGCCGCTTGAAGTACCGTCGCCGAGTATTCTCAGCGGATTGGGCGTCAAGAATGCCAACATTTACGCGAACGAAACGTTCACCTCGTTCTTTAGACGATTGACATTCGCTCCCGACGGAAGCTTGCTGTTTACGCCCGCCGGTCAGTATAAAACGTCGCACTTGTCTGCACCGGATTCGGCGAAAACGACAGATGAGATCATAAACACCGTGTACGTCTACACGCGCGCGGGCTTCAACAAACCGCCAATTTCCCATCTCCCAGGCCACAAGAAGCCCTCGGTCGCAGTCAAATGCTCGCCGGTGTTTTACACCCTGCGACAGGCGCCTCAGCCCGAGCGTCACATTACTTTGGACACGTCCTCCGGGGAAGAGGCGTTCGCTTCTCTCCCTGATCCCATAGTGAGTTCCACGGGCGAACCAACTTCTATGGAGCCGCCGCCGCCAGCACCTGCAGCAAGTGACCCGCCGAGAAGCAACCAGACCCCCAAAGACGATAGCCCCTCTTCTACTCCCACACCGACCCCTGTCTTCAGCCTTCCTTATCGAATAGTTTATGCCGTGGCCACCCAAGATGCCGTCCTGGTTTACGACACCCAACAGCAGACGCCCCTTTGCGTTGTGAGCAATCTGCACTTCGCCACCTTCACTGATTTGACATGGTATGTTGTTTTGTTCCGTTCCCGTGCGCGAAACCTGTTGCATTCGTTCTAATACCAGCCAGGTCGAGTGATGGATTGACCTTGATTATGAGCTCGTCGGACGGATTCTGCTCGTCGCTGTCGTTTGCGCCGGGGGAGCTGGGTCAAACGTATAATGCTCCGACGGCAACCGCACAGCACGCCGGGATATCTAGCGCACAGGCGACGGCGGGTCACACCAGTGTGCCCCCGACGAAACCGAGTCCAGCTGCGCCAGTCACCGCCGCGCAAGCACCTCCGGCAAGTCCGGCGCGCTCTAACTCCGTGTCATCGGTTACCACGCAGTCCCCTGCGCAGCAAGCCGCGGGATCCGTGGTTAATAACCCAACGCCTACCCTGGGCTCCGTGCCGCTCGTGACGGCGACCAACTCCTCACAACCTCCCACACTTCCGCTGTCTACACCGCCGCAGACTCCCATGTCCGCGGTCTCTCAGAGTGGGACAAGTTCAGTCAGCAACAGCGTCCTAGGGAAACGTGCGGGCGAGTCTGAGAAGGAGGATGAGCAAAGTTCGGTTTCACAGGTACAACAACCGAAAAAGAGGCGAGTAGCACCGACTCTTGTTTCAGCGGGGACCGGAAATGGCTCGTCCGCGGGCAACGAGTCGAGTAATCCGGACGTTGGTAGCTAAAATACTCTTTTCCATTTTCTCTCTTACCTTTCTTCTCTCTTATCCACCCTTATCCATATGGCATGGTTTCTTTTTTTCTCTCTTATACTCTTAAGCCCTGCTCTCCCGTTCGCTGTAGAACGGATGGATGACCCCTTGAGGGGCAACGGCATCTTTTCCCTCTTGACCCGACGAGATGATCTATGGTGCTTCCCATCTGTTCCGTAAGATCCCAATTGATTGGAACGTCTTGACCTCCTGGAGTTTTTGATTTGATTGTGATCGTTGAATGAAGACGAGGACATCATTATGCTTTTGCCTTCTTATTTCCCTTTCCTTTTTATTTATATCAGGGATATCAGTAGCATCCCTCTTGTTTCTGTCTATCTTGTTCCCCCCTTTTTACCCCCTCTTTCTTGGCGCATTGTACTTTTTATTCCCTGTTCATTCTTGCTTTTTGATCTTCCAATTCGATTCCACCTTGGGTAGGTAGGGTATCAATGTGCATGCGTGTGATGTGATGCGATCCGATGCATGCAGATTACAACCCCTGTCTATCATCATTTCATTTCATTATCTTTTCTTTTCTTTTCCTTTTCTTATGATTCATTATATCCGGGATCTGTGGCACTTGGGTTATTTGCAGTTATTTGCATGTGACAGAGTAGGTAGGAGTAAATTATTAGCTTTTTTGCTCTTCTGTTCATTGATATGTGTCTTTCCCATCTTACGTTCCTTATCTTTCATCTTGTATTTCCCTGGATGGATATCTGCTTTTTCTATCTTGTTCACTCGCGCATACCTAGCTGTTTGGGGTGGATTTTCAATTGATGCGTTCTTTGCATAAACCAATCTTGGCTAGGGTGCATAGGTCAGGTCAGGTCAGCTTGGATGATCTTGGTTAATCAGTTAGATAAGGAGGCTGAGCATGATATTCTCTATTCTTTTCAGCCGTTTAGATTGAACGAACTCTGTTTCGCGATTCGATTCGACTCAATTGATCTCGCTATCTAGATGAAGAAGAAAAACAGCCCAAAGATCGACAATAGATAATGACAGTTGCTTGGAGTACAATGGTGAATAGGTAGGTAGTAAGTAGATGATGATGAACGAGGGAGGTCATCTATGCAGTCTATGATATTCACACCAACATGAATGAGGGTTGAAATGTTTTTCGACCTTGACTTCTTGCCTAGACATGTACAGATATCTCGATATCAATTTATGCTCACAAGTCTTTATCTGGAGGGATGATGCGAGATGAGAAAAAGGAAAGGGGAAATGGGTGAGATGACAAAGAATGTATGTGTGTATGCATGCATGTATGTAGAAGTCGAAATAAATAAATGTAAGTGGGGTACTAATTCAATAAGAAAAGAAGCAGTAGACGTATGAAAGATGTAAAGGTTAAGAGGTAACAGTAAGGATACTGGAAATAATGAAGATGCAGGCGACGAGAGCGGAGATAGATTGGTCAGAAACGAAGGGCGTAAGCTGCAATCAATCAAAACCCAGCAATGGGATGTCTTGGAATGGATGTGTCACCGTCGACGATAGGCCCGTCGCCATTCATCGATGCGTATCCGCTCAAGGCTGGATTGCAAAGAACGCCTATAATGTCAGTCACGGTCATGCTCTTGGGTGGCACAGCCTTGGCCTCGGTGGCGTGCGTGCCGGTGGTAAGGGTTGACACGTTGCGGATTATGTTTGTCGATTGAAGGTGATTTGCCCAGCGGAACAGGGTTTCGTCACCGCGAGTGCTGCCCGCGACGAATAAGAAATCCGGGACCCGTGGGAGCAGATCTAAGACGGACTCAGCCGCTTTTGATTTAGTACCGTCCAGAGGCTCAACGCCCACCGCGCCCTCAGTGAGGACGACTCGAATAGCCTCGCTGCCACGGGTGCCGTTGATCTGATCTGCAAGATCGGACGCTTGTCGGGCAGCAATGTCGGGGTCATGCGCGTTGTTATACCAGAAGGTTAGAAGACAATGGCCCTCCTCTATCTGACTACCTTCGGTTCTTTCATGGTAGTATTCGATCACCTTGCGGATGCCGCTTCGCCAGTCTTTGGCCTTTTCCAGGTCAACCAGTGCCCTCCATTGGGTGGACCCGATGTCTCGTCTGTAGCACCCATTTTCAGCAATGTAACCAACTCGACTGGAAAATTCTTTCAGCAGTGATTCCAATTTCTCCGGGCTCTTGCTGCTCGTCACATAAACCACATTCTTGGGGTCCATGACGAGACGCTCGAGCAAAGAGAGCGACTGGTGGGAAAGTGCAGAAGTGGCGGAAGAGCCCCCCTCATCTTCGATAAAGAAGAGTCGCAAACCAGATCTATCGTAGGTTTCTTTCAAGGCAGGGATTGAGAGAGATGAAACTTGACTGAGTTCACGAGCTAGTTGTGTGCTGCGTGCCTCGGCCAAAGCCGTCTTGAACGAATTGCACCAGGACACTGCGGTATATGGGGCTTTCCTCTCGAGCAAGAACTCCCAATTCTGCTTTTTCTGCTCTGGTGACATCTCCAGCGATTTGTTGATCATGTCTGCGACCTCCTTGTAATTCCAGGGATTGACCAACAGATCGTGTCCATGAAAGATAGAAGCGCTTCCGGTGAACTCACTCAGAATAAGGGAGCCATGTTGCTGAGCTGTTATTCTCCCATCCTGACAGTGGAGAAAGTCATGACTCTGGAGGTTCATGCCTTCTCTCAGACTGGTCACCATGAAAATCTCTGCTACGCTCATGAGGGCCAGAAACTGGGAGTAACTGATATCTTGTCTCAAGAGCACTAGTGGCTGATGGGTAAGCGTTGAGTAGGTGGAATTGATTCTCATGGCGATCTTTGAAACCTGGGCTTCTAATTCTGGCATTTCTGATGCGGAGGCAATTTGGACGAGGACAACCTGGACACATTAGTATACCTATCATCAGAACCTCGCAACGCCGGGTGCGGAAACTTACATTTCCTCTCCACTTAGGATATTTCTTGAGGAACAGCTCATATGCCATCAACTTGTGCTTGACACCTCCGGGAGCATCAAGTCTGTCCCGCGCGATAATCAAATGTTTGTCTTTGTATCTGGAGAAGATGCTCGCAATCCAATCCTTCACACCAGCGGTTTGCCGTAAATCATCGAGGGAATTCGTATCTATACCAATGGGTAGCTTTTTCAGATGCACGAAACGACCCGGCAGTTGGACTCCATTGACAGATACCTCCAAACTTAGAAGCCGACTGCATGATTGAAGGAAATGATAGCAATATTCGTCTGTTTGGAAAGCAACAAGATCTGCCCCGAGGAGCCCATTCAGGAGGGCATTTCGTGCACTGAGGCAGCGGAATATCTCAGACGAAGGGAATGCAGCATGCATGAAGAACCCGATTTCTGCGTTAGGCAAGAGTTCCCGCAGCATAGATGGCAGGAGTAAGAGGTGGTAGTCTTGAACCCAGATAGTATCCCCGGGGCGCCAATAGACTGCAATGGTCTTTGCGAATGCCTCATTGACCTTGACGTACTGCTTCCAAGAGTAGTCATCATACTCGTTGTGTCGGGGACTCTCTTGCATTTGGTAATGGAAGGCAGGCCATAAGACCGAGTGGCAAAAATGCGAATAATGCCCTTCGAATTCGTGGTCACCGACAAATACTGTAATTGATTCATACTCGTCTTCCAGCGTCTCCGAGATACTCGAGCGGGTTTCATCCTTCAGGGAGTCGGTGGGCATACCCAATGTGCCGACCCACATCTTGTCTGATAGGATGCCTGCCTTTTCGGCAGCGTTGACTGCATTTCGCAAGCCTCCATTGCCTTGCTCAGCTGATTTCACGGTCCAGTCAACATCGGAGAGCAATGCACGCAGACTTGCACGATCCTCTTCTGAATCTGGTGTCTCTAAGGCGGTTTCGAGATAGGTCGGCTGGTCTTCGTAACCCAGACCAAAGCGGCTTAGAATTGAGCGGTCAGGATAGTTGGACACTTTGGGGCGTGGTTGATTGAATTTACGACTCTGGCCCCAGGACACTACTGGAGGGTCGCTGGGACCTGGGCCATTGGGATCATCGGCCGACGGGACCTCGCTTGCTGACTTCGACACATATGACTTGAAAATCTTTTCGTCTTCGGTGGTCGCTCCAGGAGTCAATGACTGGTTGAATGTTTTCGAGTGACGCCTCCGGTGCGACTCTGCTAGTCTTCCTATGATATGATCGTCTGCATGAGAATGACTAGCGGACGACTTGCGGCGCTTAAGCTCGGTGGTCTGGAAGTTGATAGTGTAGGGTAGAAATCTGGTCAAAGGAAATTATTAGACCTGCTTGATGTGGAAAGAAAGACAACATAGAAGGATACGCAAAAAAAGACTTACATGGAAGCAATGAAGACCGTCATTTGGTAGGAATTTCGAGAGGGGGCCTCTTCGGTGTCCAAAATCTATCTACAAGGGGAAAGAAAAAGGGAAGGAGCTCATGCAAGCACAACAGATTTCGTGGAGATTGATAAAAAATAGAATAAAGATAAATATGAAAAGTCGGGTGTCTTATCCGGATCAAAAAATGTTACATCCCACGCGCATGAAAGACTGTCAGTCATCCAAATGGCCTGCAGACCAACTCGTTGAAGTCAATGATCCTAATTGACGCGGCAGTTAGACATCTTCGCAGCGCATTTTAAATCGAACCATGGACAGATGACGATTATGATTGGACCATGAAACTGTAGAGCTTCTGTCAAAGCATATGAAAGGGCGAAAATGGAACCTTCTGGCCGTTACATGGGGTAGGGCCAGAAGGAGGGGAACGGTTGAAAGACGTTTTCCTGGGGCGAACCATTGTGGCATGACAGACTGGCAGCTGTTCGTATTGGGCACGGAGTGAGATTTGATGGAATGAGGAGGAATCCCGATCATTGGCCTGCGCCCTGATTCTAACGGCCTGCAGAAAATGTGAGAGATAACTTACCTACTTCCAACTTGGACACATGGATCTTATCGCGCGATGCATTAAATCATACCGCCGTAAGAAGTGATAGCGACATCGACCAAAAGGACTGTAATGACGTGAGGGACCCGGAATGATCCACGGTTGAATCCACCCGCACTAAAGATAGCGCAGTTGAGAGGAGTCGCTAGCCTTGCTCTGACCAAGGGGACAACCGGAGAAAATCCAAGAAAACCCGGGTATGGTCAGTAGTTGGAATCATCGAGGGGTAAGCGATAATGGAATTTGTCGCGGGTGGGAGGAATGGGGTCTCGAACGATGTGAGGGGATTAAAAGAGGAAGAAGAAGAGGAAGAAGTTCGAGGGGCAAAAAGAAGGCAGGCAAAGCAAACAAAGCCGGAAACGTGTTGAAAGTGGATACCTGAAAATTCAGGACGAGCTCCATTATCATCACCGCCACGACGTGCCAAATTGCTATCATCTCTACCTACTCCATCCTTGGCTCTATCGACCTCCATTCCTCCACTCGCTTTCAACTTCCCTTCCCAATTCCTGCCCAAGCTATTCCGGCTCTCATTGCATCTCAATATAAATTCTCAATTATCCTATCCGACCTCTTTCTCAATTGATTGACGTATTCCATTCTCGAAGCGGGGCAGTCAGTCTCAGTGGCTCTTCCTGATGCCCTCCACCATCTCTCCTCCGCCTACCGCGGGTGATTCTCGCCTGCTTATCGTTTCGAATCGGTTACCCATCACCATTCGCCGATCCGAAAGTGGCAAGTATGAATTTTCCATGTCCTCAGGGGGCTTGGTCACCGGGCTGAGTGGCCTATCCAAGACTACCACCTTCCAGTGGTACGGATGGCCGGGCCTGGAGGTGCCAGAAGATGAGATCCCTTCTCTGAAGGATAGACTAAAAGATGAATTCGGGGCAACCCCGGTGTTCATGGATGACAAATTGGCCGATCGTCACTACAATGGCTTTTCCAGTAAGTACACACACTACACACCCACCCACATGTTCATCCATCCATCCGTCCATCCCCTCATCCAGTCACACATGCATGATGGTATACATGAAATCAGGTATCCGTACCTTGGTGCCAATATACCTGTCGGATTGTTACCCCTCCACCGGCGGCAGGATCGCCTCACCATCAGCCACTTGGCGGCCAACCACGGGTCCCTCGAAGTACATACATCTAACATGACCTGTCAGACTCGATTCTATGGCCCCTCTTACACTACCACCCCGGGGAGATAGTGTTCGACGAGGCTGCCTGGGACGCCTACCGTGAGGCCAACGGTTTGTTTGCCGAGACGATTGCCAACGAAGCTCGCGAGGGCGATCTGATCTGGGTGCATGACTACCACCTCATGCTTCTGCCGGAGCTTCTCCGCGAGCGACTTCGCCAGATGGGCAAGAATAACATCCGCATTGGATTCTTTCTGCATACGCCCTTCCCCAGTAGTGAAATCTACCGGATCCTCCCCGTGCGGTCCGAGCTGCTCCACGGCGTGTTGCAATGTGATCTAGTCGGTTTTCACACCTATGACTACGCGCGGCATTTCCTAAGCAGCTGCGCTCATATTTTGTAAGTCCCGCCGCTGGTTTGATTTTTCGCGCGCTTGCCTCGTTGACTAACTTCTTGCCTCAGAGGACTGGTGACGACCCCTAGCAGTGTCCAGCTGGAGGGGAGATCTGTCCACGTCAGCGCATTTCCGATTGGAATCGATCCGGAGAAGTTCACGGAGGGGCTGAAGAGCCCCAAGGTGCAAAACCGCATTGCGAACATCGAGAGTAAGTTCCAGGGGACTAAGTTGATGGTCAGCGTGGATCGCCTTGACTACATCAAAGGTATCCCTCAGAAGCTGCATGCCCTGGAGGTGTTTCTGTCCAACCACCCCGAATGGGTCGGCAGGGTTGTGCTCGTCCAAGTGGCAGTCCCAAGTCGTCAGGATGTTGAAGAGTACCAGAACCTGCGGGCCGTGGTGAACGAACTGGTGGGGAGAATCAACGGCAAATTTGGTAAGCCCTACCACCGCTCTTTAGCACCACTGCTCTATACCAATCGCTATCAATAGGTACTGTGGACTACATGCCCATCCACTTCATGCACAAATCCGTCAGCTTTGACGAGCTGATCGCCTTGTACTCGGCCTCCGATGCCTGCCTCGTGTCTTCTACCCGAGATGGTATGAACCTAGTATCATTCGAATACATCGCAACCCAGGAGCGACGCAAAGGCGTCTTGGTCCTATCTGAATTCGCCGGTGCCGCCCAGAGCCTGAACGGAAGCATCATCGTCAACCCATGGAACACCGAAGAGCTGGCCAGTGCCTACCACGAGGCCGTCTCGATGACCGAGGACCGTCGGGCGAATAACTTCGCCAAGCTCAACAAGTACATTTCCAAATACACCAGGTTAGTGCTGGCTCCGCCTTAGATTGGGCTCAAAGAAAGGAAAGGTCATAGCTAACGTCGGGCAGTGCGTTCTGGGGCAAATCCTTCGTGGCCGAGCTCTCGCGATGAAGTCATAGCGTTGGACTTTACGTTTTCAACATTTTCCTTTACAATTGTTCATAGGCGAGATGGGTCGGTCATAGACAATGACAGAGCGGCTAATACATAAACGGGAATTGATCCCAACGGCCAAGTTCCTGCAGAGGGTCTGGGCTTGAAAGACATAATTTTGATCGATTGATTATTGAATGCGTGGCGTACACACCAGTTTGAGATGAGTGCATAGTTAACATACAAGAGAATCTAGAACCCATACATCATAGAATGAATTCTCGCAGTCTAATTCTAGACCCCCAGATTCACTTTGAAGGCCTGCATGCCTACCTGCCTGCCTACTTAATTCGATAAGAGTAAGCAGGGAAGGTAGTAAAAACAGGCCTGAACATTGCATGGCATAGCATGGCGTGGAAGCACTACTGGCGTGCCTATGACAGAGTCAATGGAAGGTCCAGACCCCAATAGCCCATTCACAATCGCACCTACGCCGGGAGCTGGTCAACGCCCAGCGGCCACCTAGTAATTCCCAACTCCCGTAGATAACACAACTTCCGTAGAGAACATTGGGTAGCAAATCCGATTAATCCAGAACTGGGACCCTTCGCTCCGCCTTCTACTAGGATAACCATTATCCCTAACGGAGAACGCCGTACCCACGAGCAAGCAATGATGCAACCAACAACATCGCCCTGGTATTAACTATTCTAGACAAATCTAGGTACCTCCAACACAGAAAACATTCCAATGGATTCTTCCAACTCCCAGCCCAGTCCAGCCCAGCCCAAACTCAATTGAAACCTGTCTTACATATCCGGCACTCCATGCACATACCCTACACACGGTGGAATGGATCATCATAGATCGCAAAGGAGGATGGAATGCGCAGTACTCTGCAGGCAAGAGGGATCTTAATACGCGCCGCGCCATACCAGGACCGAACCTGTCCAGATCCATCTAGGGATCGAATTGATTGACAAGGAAAATGTAGGTCTAGGCCTTGGATTTCATAATCATTCATTATTGCCCAAGTGGTCAATTGCTAGTTACCGCCCTTGTGTTGGCTTGTGAAGTCATAAGGTGCGTAGGGTAGTATTCGGGGCTCGGCTTGCAACACAACACAGGCATCCCTTGATTCGGAGGTATCATTCATTCATTCATCGGGCTTGTCGGTGGTGTCGGTCTCGGTCTCGGGTTCGAACTCAATTGTTAACGGTCTAGTATCTCGCTTTTTGTGTTCTATCTTCTGGATGAGCTGGTTTGGATGATGTTGGATGTGTACTCAATGGGATTGTGTGGATATATAATGAATAAGATAGAGTACGTGAGATACCCAACTAAGCATGACTGTCTTGATAATATAAATTGATTGCAAAGCCCACTTCGTAAGCCATCTCCCACAAAGTACAGAATAGAAAGGTGTGCAATTAGTGTTACATCCGTAAGTAGGTAGGTAGTAGACAGGGTAGATGAAGTGTAGTAGCCACCCCCTAGATATGTACATACATACATAGAACCCGTTACTACAAACAAACTCACACCAGAAACCGACAACCAAAACATGAAGGTAAGCTTAAATTGAAACAGAACTCTACTTTATTTCGCGCGGGGAGGGTAAATCGCCACCAGCACACTCCGTACAGTACGTCGCACTAAACCCTATGATTGATGGGGATTCAGATAAAATATTGATTTGTGGCGGATACGGTCGATCCTGCAAGGAAAGGAAAAGTCAATGCCTAGTTTGTTGGCATAGACGTGTTCATCCGAAGTGCGAACCGCTACACCCACTCTACCCACTTCTACTATCACCACCTACTCTGTAGATACTACAAACTAAAGTACGACCTGTACAACAAAACAAACAACCCCAACTCCCCATCCTCACATCCCCCTCCGTACTCGTACTCCGTCAACCCAACCGCCGATCCCATCCCCACCCAGATTTCCAATTCCAGGATCGGGCCTGTGGCTGAGCTGGAAAATCATCGACCGAAAAGTAAAACCTGCCAATGGCAAGCCGAGGTCGGGCCGGAGCCGCATTTACCGAAGAAGGAATGGCTTACTTTTGACTTGCTTTGTAGTTTGTTCGGGTTGGAGAGTTTGGCTGTGGTTCGAACTCCGTTCAAGGCGTGGACTAGGCCCGAGTTGGGCGTGGGACTGCTCATTATGGGGTATGGAAATGGGGTAAGAAATTTGAGCCAGGGGAGGGTCGATGGTAGGGGATTCTGGTAGTGTTAGGCAGGAAGATTACACCGTAGTTATTGTTGTGGTCAATACTATTGTAAGATTCTGGGGGCGCGATCAGTGATGTTGAATATTTTATTGATGAATTGATGACTTCAGATGTGATGATGACTGATATCATGATATGATAGCAAAGACCCTGAATCACGAACACCCGAAAAGAAAAATAATAATAAGAAAATCGGAAAAAAAAAAAAAAAGCTTCTCAGTCAAGACCGGGAGAGGTATCCACGCCAAGCCCCCTGGACAAGAGTCAAGAGTCAAAAGGACAGGGTCTGGTCCAGTCTCTGTCAACGAGGGCAAGTCTGGTCGTCATCAACCGGGTTTAGTGCGGTGGGGCTTGAAGGCAGCTCTAGCCAGATCTTGTCCCATGCCAAGACGGACGCTTGCGCGTCTCCGCCACCATCGTCCCATCTTGGAAGGATGCCGTAATCCTGTAACGCCGAGTCCATCAGAGAACGTCCCCCCTCTCTCTCCTCCCCATTGTTCATCAATATTTACTTATCTAATATCTTCCCTAGAAACACGGTGGAATCATCTTTCCCTAGAATCACGGTATGTACATGCACATTACATGAACCACGTACACCGTACATAACTGGGCCTGCGTTCGCCTTGTCGGTGGCAATCCCATCAGGGATGACTTGATAAGGATGCTACATCATCGAACTGTCAATCAAGTGGGGATGCATTCATCAGAGTGCATGAAGCCGCGCGTGTGTGTTATGTGCACATCGCCCGGGCTAAAGGGCACAGGATAGGGCTACCCTTATGGACGCGACCGTTTTGTATGCAGACAAGACGGTGTGTGTCAAAATATCGAAACAGGTGGGTATGCGTAATTCGGGATTGAGATTTTGAGTGCATCAGTGACCAATTCCTATTTCTTTTTTGAGTTGGTGGTTGGATTCCCAGAGGACTGGCTGGCCCTAGAGCCACAACCTGGAGGCAATCAACCGCTTAATCATCGAGATTGGAGTCCACGGCAGGGAAATGAATAGGAAACCTGGTCCAAGTGCCAGTTTCTCTAATCAAGATCACCACGATTTTCGTGGCCATCTGACCTGCTCTGGAACCAGACAGTTCCCATCCAGGGTCCTCCTTCTCTACCTACCCCTAGACCTATCGCGCGTAGTTATCAATTGGATTGTTGGGTATGTCAACGATGGCGTAAACCGATGTGCTGGACAAGCGGAATTGGTTTTCTTCCCATTCTCTAGTGGTCCTTTCATAATGGATACCAAAAACTGGCCGCCCATCTGTCCATCCCATCGGGTATTGCGTATCGTCTGAATTTTTATCCCACCGCAAGATTAATAATATGCCGGATGATCCATTTGATAGTTCAGGACAGGTCAAGTGAGCCATGATTCGTCAGCAGGTGAGGATGCGTGCGTGGAAGAAGAAGCTGCTAGTTTTAAACTGGGTCAATACGGTAGTAATATTGGTAGGGCTAACGGTTCAACCCGCTCTCAATTATTTCCTGCTTCATCTGGACGGATTCTGGACTTGTCGGCACTCGGGTCACGGGGTGTGAAGAGTGGGAACTGCTGGGGGGAAAGTGATTCAGGATAATTTGAGTCAAAAAAGACAAGGATTATTGACTGGTTAGGTAATTGACACAACGTTCCCCTTTCCAATCTTCAGAGTTCAATCAGATATCTGCCGTAGAACTGAGGAATCGCGCCTCGTAAGTGTGCAATGGTGACATTTTAGTCCGTTGATCAGAGAGCCGCGTAAGACTACTAGCTGACGTCGAACAGAAGTCAATTAGTGCCCCAATAGCCGGAGAAAAAAAAAAAAAAAAAGGACTGGGTAGAGACCAGTGAGTAGTCGACTAGTACTGTAGTAGGTTATGCGCAACGCCATCGGTACTAGGAGTACCTATCACAATGCAAACTGAGGATGACAGCTTGCGTAGTCTTGTAGATTATCACCACTGACGGGTCAAGAGAGAATCAATCGCAAAGTCTCCAAGAGAGAGTCTCTGATTCTCTATTCGTCCTTCTCCCACCTTTCTCCGGGATACCACGCGGACATGGCCAAGCTTTTCAGAGATTCATCAGCAGGTGGAGAGACAACAGCACGTCGTTCCTCATCAGGGCCGTCACGATGGGAGGCATCATGGTGTTCAGGGGAATCCTGTTGGCCCAACCCGGTGGAGCCAAGAGATAGTATCACGAATCTTGTCGGAAGAAATCGAAGAAGAAATTACCAGATTGGGCGATGGACGAGGAGGAGGAGGGGATTGTTTGATTTCTGTCTGCAGGGCCAAGACCTCGCAGGGAGAGGGAAACATCATCAGTATTATTATTAGGAATACTGAGTACGGCTGTTACGAGACGGCGGGCTGGCAGTGCAGTTGTTGCAGCGCAAGAAGCAGAGGAAGAATACCGGGAGTCTGTGGAAGCAGGACGTGCGTCGTCTTTGCGACCGAAAGGGATTAGCAGCGGAGAGCGAAAAGGGTCTTGGCCATGGGACAGTTAACTGTTTCGGGGCGGGACACACGCGGCTTGCGGTGCTGGCGGGGCTCTCTGATTGGGGCTTGCGCTCCAAGGCTGACGACGCTTCGCCCTTTTTCGCTGCTGCTGGCGTGGAAAGAAGGTCTTTTTTTTTATTTTTTATTTTTTATTTTTTTTTTTTTAATCTTTAATTTTTTATTTTTTAATTTTTGATTTTCTTTTTCCTTTTTTTCCTCTTACTGCGACGACGACGACGACGACTACCACCGAAATTACTAGTCGCGGCTTCTCTCTCTTCTCTCGCTCTTCCTCTTCTCTCACTCACTCTCTCACTCTTCCCTCTCTTCCCCCCCCTCTCCTTCCCTTCCCTTTGGGATTCTCTCTCCTCACCTCTACCCCCCTCAATCTTCGATACTAACCTCGAATAATTAATTCGAAACCATCCCTATCTTCTAAATCTGTCGCCTTTTACCTGGTAACGGGTTTATCCAACTCCCTTTCTTTCGTTAATTATCCCGTCGAGGTTGCTCGGCGACTATTGCGTCGACAAATCTGCCAAGCGTGGCGACCGCTTAGTTGGGTGTGCGACCATCAACCACCTCCCGGACCCTACGATTCGAAACCAACCCTGGCTTCGAACTTCTACTCATCACTCGCCCATATCACCGTTCGCTCGTTTCAATTCGGCCAACAAGATCAGGGAAATCACGACTCGGTGATCAAAGGGGAATTCCATCTACCATTGGGCGTTCGATTCATCCTGGAGCTTCACGTCCGACCGCAGCTGGTGTCGCTCACACCCCCCTACCACCATGGCAGACAATAGACACCATCACCACCACGCCCGCCGGGCGCAAACCTCCGACAACTTCGATGCTTCCGAACTTACTCGATCCTTCGAGCAGCTGATGCGCAACAAGCGGTTCAATCGTCTTCAGGAACAGTCAAGAAGCCGGTCTCGCACGCAATCCCCCTCGCCTGGCCCCCAGCTGGCCTCTCCTGGACCCTTCCCTCCTCCCCCCTCGCGGGCACCACCACCACCCCCGACCGCGGGTGTTCAATCTCCTCAGCTCCCGCCGCAGCCATCAACTCCTCGGTCTTCGCTCCTACGAGGTCTCCCTATCGTCCCGTCGCCGCCCCAGGACCCTGCGGCCTTGAAGTTCCGGAACCTCCTACACGTCTTGTCGGTCACACCAACCAAGTATGAGAACCCGGGTCTCCTCGACGAGGCTCTCGCCCTCATTCCTCTGGATCGATTGTACTCGGAGGCAGAGGAAGAAAGCCAAATCATGCAGGCCCAGGCCGCGAGTGTCAGGGGGAAACCTGAATGGGGCTACCAGGATTGCGTCATCAGGGCTTTGTTGAGGTTTGTTACTCTTAGCTTATTGTTCTCTTTATGTGCCAACTAACGAACCACCTCTTTCTAGATGGTTCAAGCGATCTTTCTTCCAATTTGTCAACAACCCAGCCTGCTCACAATGCCTCACGCCTACCATTGCCCAGGGTATGACACCGCCAACACCGGATGAGACTGCTCGTGGCGCTACGCGAGTCGAGCTTTACCGATGCTCCGAGCCCACATGCGGAGCCTACGAGCGATTCCCGCGCTATTCCGACGTTTGGCAGCTGCTGCAGACTCGACGAGGACGTGTTGGTGAATGGGCAAACTGTTTCAGCATGTTCTGCCGAGCGCTCGGAGGTCGCGTACGATGGGTGTGGAACTCGGAAGATTACGTGTGGACGGAGGTGTACTCTGAGCACCAGAGACGCTGGGTGCACGTTGACGCGTGTGAAGAGGCCTGGGATCAGCCTCGTCTCTATGCCGAAGGTTGGTTTCTCTTTCTGTGCAACCCGTCCTTTGTGGAACTACGTAAACTAACCCGATTGTTTGCTTTAGGCTGGGGTCGAAAGATGTCGTACTGCGTCGCCTTCTCCATCGAAGGCGCTACCGATGTCACTCGCCGCTATGTGCGAAGCCCGACCAAACACGGCGCGCCGAGGAACCGTACCACGGAGGAGGTGCTTCACTGGGTCATTCTCGAAATCCGAAAGAAGCGCCGTGATAACTCGTCCAAGACGGACCAACGACGACTGATCAAGGAAGACGAGCGCGAAGAGAGAGAATTGCGCGCTTATACAGCATCTGCCCTCGCTGCCGAGCTCAACAACCTGCTCCCCCGGAACCACACCAGTGGGCGATTGGACGAACAGAAGACGCCCACGCGGCAAGACTCCGACTGGGTCAGCGCGAGACAGGCTGGACAACATGGACCAGACCGATCACAGGATGGGCGGTAACACGATGTGTAACGACTCGAGTCTCTGCTTCGGTTCTACGCATTTGATTGCTAGGGCAAACCCCAACCAACCCTGCCACCGATCTCCTGCGAAAACATAAATCCAACGACGAATACGACGACGTTACAAAGCCAAACTTGACTGAGACCCCTTCGATGTATGATCTACCCAGATGTGCGTGTTGCTAGGGGATCAGTCTGTTTATTACGGATTCGTTCGATCGACACTGCGCGCTTTCATGAACTACAACCAGATCGTGTGTTTGTGTCACGGCGCGTCGACTAACAGGATGAAATCTGACTTAATATCGTCAGCCCGCCCGGCGGGACGTCAGCCCCCTTTCCGACCGGGGAAGGGGGTTCCTTATACTCAAAAATACCCCAGTGATAGGGCAGAAAAGTCCGACAAGCACTGGGCATATTGAGCCCCGACGAACAAAGTTTGTCGATCCGATTTTGAAGAAACGATCTCACTGATCGAAATTATCAACACTATATACCGTCCATCTTTCTTTTTGGATTTTCCTTTTATCATCTCGACACTCTTTGGCAAAAGACACCATCACTCTCGCTACTCTTTATCTTTTTCATTTTCATTTTCCTTTTCCTTTTCTCATTCATATACCCCGTTGGGTCATTACGGATATCTTGGAGACGAAATATTAATTGGTGATTCAATTTTGGAGATGTGGCAGGGTTGGAAAGTTTCATGAATCTTTTTAATTTTCTCTAATCTTCTACTTTTTCTTCTAACCTTCTGATTAAATTTCCATTTTTTCTTTTTGGTGGGAACATCTGCACAAGCCATGTTGTATGAGACACGGAAGTTTCGGTCGGCGCGGCATCTTCACTTCTTCCCTTTTTGTTCTGACTCCTGGCGATCTCAGATACTGTCAAATAACCCAGTTTCATCTGACCAACAAAAAACACTTCTGAGTTGGAATATCTTGGACACGTTCTTCTTGATTATTGGGCAGAATGACGCATGCATTGCCCTTGTAAGCCTGACTACTACTTACACAGGACAAACATACACGACTTGAATACTACGTTGATGAGGGTAGTATTTCGGCATTCCAGGGCCCGAATACCTTACCACCTCAGCCTGGATGATCAGCCCGAGTGTTTGCGCTTCTGAACATTTGATCGACATGACTTGAATGCATCATCGTGACGCTTTTTTTGCCTTGCCGGCTTTGCACCTGGCCAGACCACCCTGTTTCCTCCAGATTCTCACGAGATGCCGCCCTCCGTCTTCCAGCTCAGATAGATTAATATGGATTGATTGATACCACACCTCCGTATCGGCTCCGAATCGAACAGCCCACACCCACCCCCTCCTCTCACCTGACCACGGCCCGAAGCCCAAAACAGTACCGGCGCTGCAGATCCCGTCGACTTTTCTATAAATAATCCCCCTTTACCCGACGGGGCCTAGTGAGTCCGCCCATCGCGGGGAAAGAAGCGCACCCGGCGTCCAATCGACGCGGGCGCCTGGTTTCTGAAAGGACCCTCGGAGTCGGGGCCTTCTCAGGTTTCGAACGCTAAGAAAACCGTCAGACAAGGCCAGATTGGTTCCGGGACCACTTTGTGCCTATCGCAATTAAACTAAGGAGAAGAAGGGGGGAGACCCTGAGTCCAGTCCCGTTCGGACTGGTCTGGCTGGTCTGGCTAGTCTAGCTCGGTCCCTGAATTTGTTGACAACTTATTCCGTAACTACAGTATTAGGCTGTTTTGCTGTGTTACTGTTGACTGTTGGTGACTGATCTTCGTTAGTCGGCTGTCTCAACGACACCGATTTATCTTTCACTCTGACATCCAGGGTACATTCTCCTGACTCTGTATCCATATTCTGTACTCTATCTCCATCCCATGGAGTCCAAATTGAAAGATCCCCTATAACCTACTCCGTGTACTCCGTACTGAACACTCCGTTTCCGTGTCACTCAGTGGATAGATAGTGGATACTAGATACTAGTTAGAGGTGGATCGAGCGCAGTCCTGCCTGCCTGTGCCCTGTACTCCGGTGTAGGCTGTAGGCCGTGGTGGTACGGACAACCCGTGTGGCTCTAAGTCTAACCAACAACTTCCGATCATCATGTCTCAGATTGTATGGTTCGTGGAAATTGCGATTGCGTTCCTTTTCCTGTTCCTGTTCCTGTTCCTGGGTTTGACCTGAGTTTGAGTTAAATGTAAAACAAAGGATCCTTATTCTTTTGAAATTCTTGTTATTTTTGAGATGGAAGTGTTGGTTACTTGGTTTTTCTTTTGCTTAACTTCCGGAGTACGGCACTCAGTAACTAGTTTATAACTTAGGGCACGGTTAATTAATTAAATAAAGTCTGGTTAGATTGATTGATCAACCAGGGAAATGTTGTGAAAACCACGAGGTCGGACCATACCCTGTCTGTTTGATTATCACGCTGAATCGCGTAGTCGCGTACTACAGGAACCAACTACCTTAGTTTGTGTCTTACTACTGCGCAGCTAAACTAAGTACTGAATCCTGATAGTTAACTAGAGGATGTCGGCTGGGGTGTTATTATTGTTTGTTATCCATTTGTCCGGATCGCAATCTACCTACCTAATTTAGGGCCATTGCTGAATGTCTATACTCCGTCTAACTTCCATATAGAGGTCATTTAGCGACGTGGTACTGGAATTTAGGGTTGATTGACTTCGGGAGTATTTTGACTTAGCTAACCACGACCTCATCTTGTCTGAATTTGATCCGTTCAAATCAGGTCTAACAAGCCGCTTATAATTATCAAAGGATCAGTTCCTGGGGCTGCCCTCGAGGTCATACAGTGTTTAAACATCGCTTGCCGACCTACACGAGAATATGTCATTAGGATGTTCATCGAACGTGCCACGATGATTGTATACAAAGTATGCTTTTGACATTCTCACGTCGTCCATCCGCTCGCTTGAAACGACAAGACTCAACAACTAAAACAACCAATATCTAAGATTCTGTACATACAAATCGATGCAACGAACAAAAATACTACAATCAAACCCCACCCTATCATTACACAACTGCCCTGACGCATGAGAAATCCAACCCTCTGGATCACGATTATCCCTCGCCGTCTCCTGCAAAGCAGCCGTACTGCGGACCAAATCGGCCCCCGTAACGGACACAGCATTCCACACTTCGTCGCCATCTGGCAAGCAGAAACCCAAATCGGCTAGAGTTAACAGGTCGTTGGTTTTTTCTGAACCGCCGGTGGTAGCTGTATCCGCTGGAGCTGGGTCACTACTATTGCTACTACGCCTCCTACACAGCCGGCACAGTTTATAGAGGGCCAGGCCGAACCGTTTCGTCTCTTCCACGGTTAACCAGAGGAGCGCTATTGGGGCTGAGGCGTACTGTTGGGTGAGCATGTCCGGGTAGTAGAAGAGGCCGAGTCGTCGGCAGGTTTGGACGAGCGATGTGAGGAGCTCGTATCTGGAAGTCTACTTGGTAGACTCAGGGTTACTCAGCCGATCCCACTTGGGACAACTATATAGCTATAGAGGCTATCGTTAATCTGTCCCGGGCTTACTTGCATGATTTTTTCTTTCTTTTTGAAATGAAGTCTTCATCCTCGTACCAGATACCTCACAGCAAATAATCATCTGTAGATGGGAGGTTACGAGTCTGGGATAGGCAGGGTGGTTGTGCAAGATACTGAACAAACCGGCCTTCACCATTCACAATTCACCATGGCTCCCACTCTGAACACTATTCATTACCCCCATCGACACAGTCACTACCATCCTCGAGATCAACAGCATCAAGACCCCTTCTTCTCGTCTACCGGAACTACCTGGGACAGTGGCCGAGCCGATGCATTCCCAACCCTGAAGACACGCCACTCAGATCGGGGCGGATCTGCAGAAGACGTCAGAGGAGGAGGGGGTACTAGTGAGAAGATCAGCTGGTTGAAGTGCTCGTTCTCAAGTCTCCTCACTCGTGAAGATGTATTATAGTTATAACTGAATGATGTGGACTTTACTAACTTACTTGTGTTTGAGATACTTACTCAAGTAACAATAGTCTATACTGTGTAGTTGAAGTGCAAGCACATCCATTTACAAAAATGGATGATCCTAGAGTACATCTATACTTGGCTATAGCTAATGGAGTATATCTGGGACAAAGACCAGAGTGGATACTATATGGTCCGTGGCGGACTGCGTTTCAGATACATTGACATTTCGCATATCGATTCCGTAGTTGCATGCATATTGCGCAGACGGAGGGGTAGCTTACTTTCCTGTTTCGCGTGATCGACATGATCCTGGTCTTGAATCCTTTCTGTCTATCTGATACAGCAGGATCAAACAGGACTTCATACGGTGAGGGGCTTCTTGATTTGGTATGGCATGATGTCATGGCACGTTATATCACGCTGATTTTCAAAAATGAATGATGCAATTCAATTCAGTTCACTTCAATCGAATCGCTCAATGTTCTCCGATGCTCATGCCAACCCCACAAATTTCAAAGGTCCAACCCCATACCGACAAACCTATCAATCTCCTCTCAGATACCGACATTCCCAACCCCAAACCATCTCAACTCACCCAACCAACCAACCACAAAAACTAACTAACCAAACAAACAATCCCCCTCTTCCTCAAATCTCCATCCACCTTCCCCACCTCCTTCACATAATACGGCTGTCCCGGCAACTTCAACCTCCAACCCCCCTTAACCCTCAACTCCCGTAACGGCTCCAAAAACACCGGGATCTTCTCCACCGGCTCACAGAACCAACTCCCGCTCAACTGCAGCGTAAAACGCTGCAATCCCGACATGCTCGTCAGCGCCCGACACGTCTCAACCCACTGCTGGCGGCCAGCAGAGAAGTAGACCGATTTCACGGGGTCCTTGGAGGGCAGCCAGTGGCCCGGGAAGGCCCAGCGGAGTTCGACGGCGCGGATGCAGTTCCATAGTTCGAGGGGGATCGTGGGGAGGAGGTAGGTTAGGGACCAGGTGTTGCTAAATTCGAAGACGTTGTGGGTGTAGAGGAGGGGAAGGGATTCGATAGATCTGGGTTTTTTTTCCTTTGGTTTAGTTTGTGGGGTTGGGTTGGGTTGCGTAGACAGGTAGGTAGTGTGCTAGCATGAACTCACATCTGCTTACAAGCCACCACCAACGCCAATAACTTCGCGTTCCCCTCTCGCGAAGGTAACCCGCCGCGACAAATCTCGCAGGCCTTGGTGCGCGGACACACGACGTGGCCCATGCGACGATTCGGTCGCTGCACGATATGGATGCGCATTCCGCCGAGCACCATCTCCCAGATCATGAGACGGAGCTCGGCGGATAGTTTGCTCAGGAGCGGGCAGTCGGGTTGTCTGGTCCAGACGAGTCGGGTGTCGGGGTGTTGCTGCTGTTGTTGTGGTTTCTGGGAGCGATTGAGGGTGCTGGGTTTTCGGGGTCGAGGGAGAGCGGTGGGTTTATTGTCTAGTGCTCATGGTTAGGGGTGGTAGATGGACAGCTATTATGGCAACGGGGTATAGTATGGAAGAGAAGGGATGGATGTACATACTATTATACCGCTGTGCCAGCACATCCTCCCATGAGAAGACACCCGTTTTGATTCTGGCCATGACTGGGCCTCAAGATCTCGATGCGATACCAAAGTCTCAGACTCAGAAATAATAATTCAGAAGAAAAGTAAAGAAAGTAGGCCAAGCCAGATAACTGCCCCAATCTATCACAACAATCATATCGAGGACGCCATCGCGAAGAAGCGAATCGGCTCAAAAAAGATGACCGGAAACAAAAACAAGCAGGGACGTCGCAGCTGCGCGTAACACGGAGAATATAATTAAATTGCAACTGTCGACTTGTGCGAGGCAATGGATCACGCGAGGACGAAAGACGAGAGAATACGTGGCCAGCGGTGGGGGAAAGAAGAGGGGAGGACCGACAGTAAGCGCGATGATTGTACTGTACCTACTGGAGGTCGCGGGCGCACGAGAAGAGCAACACGAAGGCGCTGGGATGTTGGGATGAGAAAGGAAAGAAAGCGCGCATATTGAGAAGGGGGTTTTCTACTTCCTTTCTTTTGAGATTAGAGAGGAGGATTAGTCCGGGTTGAAAGGAGGCTGATTGATAAGGTCGCAATCCGGTCTCGCCCGGCGCTTCTTATCTCCCTCTGGTTTGGTTTCTTGGCGAGATACGAAGAAGACGGTCAGACAGTCAGGCGAGGTTATATAAAGCATTTCCTCTCAGATACAGTGCATTGCTAGTGCGATTTCCCATCATCTACAAAGATAAAAGAGTGTGTCGCCTATCCTGGTGGCCAAAAGAATGAGTGGTTCCATATCACCAACAATCCAAGTATACCAAGTCATGATAGACAAGATACCAAATTTAGTGAAAACACCAAATAAACAACGGACCCAGCTCTCCTACCCTCAATCCCTCCGGTCCAACAGCCAGATCATCATAGCAGAAGAGAAGGGGAAAATCCCTCGCTCAGGTAGCACGAGGTGGATCTTGGCCCAAAGTATTGGTAGGACATGGAGCGTTCAATCCCTGCTGCAACATTGTGAGCCCTGCGGGCTGAAGTTTGTCAATGGGCCCTCCCTCGGGTGGAACGACGCCCACGTAGGGATTGAAATTGTACAGTCCGCAGATGCAACTATTGACGATATTCTTCAAGCTGGTGGCGCCGTGCACCGTCTTGCCGTCGCGCGCAAACGAGAACTTCTGCTGCCCAATCCCCATGGGGACCGTGAAGGCGCTGGCCCCGGCTGGAGCCTCGAATTTGTGGTTGTTCTGTCCGGAGGTGACTTCCACCGTCGCTGGGGACTTGAGCAGGGACACTACGAAGACCTCGTCCTTCATGGTCTCCCAGCCATTCGGTCGGCCGCGGAAGAAATTGCCGCTGGAATTGTTGGGGTTCCCTTGCATAGTCGAGTCGGTTGCGTCGCAGTTTAGATCCCTTGGGGTCGGTCGGTACCAGTAGACCAGCTTCTCGTCTGTGATGTAGCTGTTGACGTTCTTGTCACCGGCCTTGTAGGCAGCGATGTAAGGCTTGGACATCTCGAGCCAGCCGCCGTGTGGCCTGATAGATACATTGGTTAGGACTGTCTAACTTTTTGCAGATATAGAGAGAAATCTTACATATCCATGACCCATTTGGATGCTCCATCATCTGTATGAGGTGATGCCAGCGGTCCAATATAATGTGACTCGCCGTAATCGTTCCAGGTGACAATCTCGATGAAGCGAGGTCCGAGGTTCAAGATCTCCTGCCACCGATTGTACCACAGGAGATCACCAGGGAACACCCAGTTCTTGCTGTAGGGCACCTCACCCCCGAAGTGGGTGAAGAACCACCCGGAAGCGGCTATCAGAGTCAATCAAAACGATCATACAACAAGAGTGAAGACACGAAAACTTACGTGCAATATAAGGCTTGCCCCTCAGCGCATTGACATACGAAGCGTCGCCCTCAGCGACAGTGATTTTACGCCCGGGGCTCGGCGCCTTATTGTTACCATCATTGTCCCAAGCCATCCAATTCAACGCGCCATCGATGGCATTGAAGTCACCCTGGCCTGGGTGGAAGTTGGGGGCAAAGAAAACATCCGAGCCGGCGGCCGACTTCATCTGACCAATGTCGAGACCATCGCCAGCAAACGAAGACGCAAAGACCTTACCGTCAACCTTGAGCTGCGCAGGCCGGCTAGCATACTGCCTGATCTTCTGACCAACGGCACTGGCCTGTCCAGTGTTATACCAGTTGAAGTCAAAAGAAATGAAAACCTTCATTTGATTGTTGGCGGCCGATTCGTAGGCCAGATTGAGCTGTTGATCAGTGTAGGGGTCTACACCGATGTTCAGAGCAAATGCATCGATTCCCAATGCTTTTGCACGCTTCATGTCGTCATCGTAGTCGGCAGGACTATTGCGGTTGCTGCAGATACCGATCTGGGATCTGATGTGAGCTGCCACAATTCATTCGTTTTTAGACAAAGCAGCTTACCATGAAATGACAGAAAACCAGCCGGTCCGTGGCCTTGACGTTTGGTTCGTCTTCAGGCACTGGAATGGCGGTAGCCATTGCCGAGATGGCCACAAGCACCAGGGCAACAAGTTTGAACAGCATGGTCTTGGATTGTCAGTACGTTTCGATGAGGTAAAGCACTCACACTCAAACATGTAAATGCAGGTAGATGGGAAAACTGACCAGAGTTTCTTCAACCAATGAAACTTTCAAAAAGACGAGGATGGATATCAGGAAGAGACAATCCTGCACAAATCCAAAGCTATACTATATAATAGATTGGTAAAAGCTTTCCGGCCTCCAGAGATAGAGCAATTGAGCTCCACCTGCTAGATACTTGATTCAATTCGCCGATTGGGTCTGATCAAAGCGAGAATAACGTTCTATCACCTTTCTTTTATCTTCTTCCACGAATCCCTGTTCAGTGAGATTGACAGAGGCCATGTCCCATCATGGGGTTCAGAATGCAACAGTATCAGTCGGAGTCTATCACATGGGATGGGCCGGGCATGAAATCGTGAGCGATGATCAGACCTGAGGTCTTAGGATTTCACTAGCAGATTGTCTTAAAGTTTGGTCAAGGGTGTGGAGATGGCATTGACCAAACAGAGAAGAGAAGAACGGTGAGTTGAAGCCACGAGACCGCTGGTTTGAAGAAAATCAATTGGCCTCATCGACATAGGCTACGGGATCTGCCAGCCAAACTCTGTACACGGCTTCTGGCCGTCCCGTTGATCGACATAAGATGGCATTCGCCAATCGTGTTGACATGCGGGACAAGACTAGCATCTCTCAGGTATATCCGAACGGATGTGTGCCCTGAAAAAATGAATTGGGCTCCCGGATTTGGGTCTTCAGATCATGGCCTCAATCTGCTTAGCGTCTTTCCCACGGTGACACGCCTCTGAGTTGGACCGACAATCAGAGGACTCAGGGCCGGTGCGTTACCTGTTGGAATCCCTTCTAGATGCCACCGCCGAGCCCATCCTTCGAGCGTTAGCACGGGATGAAAAGGTGACGGACCTACATCAAACCTGGTATACCGCGGCCCAACTCCAGAATCATAAGAGGTGTTAAGCAGCCTGGCAGTGGCAGTGGCAGTGCTAATTGAATGCGGTAAAGCGGTCCTGCATCTTAATAATCAAAAATGAAGCTATTGAAAAACAATTTCTAATTATTTAATTAAAATTAGTAATTATTTTGAAATTAGTTATTCTAGAAACCGTTAATTATCTCAATAATTATATTATATAATAATTTAAAACAATTTTAGCTATATAATAGAGCGCTTAAAGATCATACAGAAGTATAAAATGATTGTCGCGCTAATCGTTCTTGTTACAATATTAATTATTATTGTTTTTATTTAACAAAGGTTTCAAATTAAAAGAAAAAGATATTAAATAAAATCTTAATTAAGCATGCCTTATCAGTCATTTATATGAACGCTTGATATGTGAGATAATTGTTAAATTAAAAAGATTTTAAGATAGAGAATTGTTATGGTTATACTAAAATAGTGTGTTTAATTGTTAGTATAGGTTTACAAGACAAAAAATTAACAAAATACTGCTTTATTTTAATTTTCAAGCTATAGATTGAAATTTACGACTAACTTTTTCTGATAAGCTTGCTTTCTCAATCCTTTTCGCTCGTATAATGTGATCAAATTGTTTAATTAATCTCGTTAAAGTATTTAATCATTCAAATGCTTATATTTCGTTTGTATATACTAATATTGTTAATTACTTTCAATATCAGTTTATAGACTTCTTTTTCTAAGATTACTATTGCCTAACATATTAGCAACTAGAATCTTATTTTGAAGCGATTGAGAACGCTGATAAAAAACATTATATAAGATTATATTAATAAGATATTGCAGCAAATCTATAGATCTTTTTATAATTAACGGCTATTTTATTTAAGTTATAAACACTATTATAGCTTCAAATTTTAGAGAATTATCTTATTGAATAGTCTTTTTTTGTCGTTTTATAATTCTATTTATGAAAGTAGAGAAAATTGATATCTCTTTTAAAATAATAGTTTAGAATCAATTATTAAAGTGTTATATAAAAATAAAGAGGATTTTGAACGCTTTTACGTATTTAATAATCTTATATATATAGACTCTAAATCAACAATAAATGCTTATTAAAAGCCTCAAGAAAAACAATTTATTATTAAATAAAAAAACTTAATAAAGATATATTATTTTATAAAATTTCTGTTAAACATAGTTTCAATCATATATAGAGATACTAAATAAAGAATATTCTATATTATATTTTTTATATAAAATTAATTTTTATAATCTTATATTATCTTATAATAACATTTTTTAATATAATGATACATCTGTATAAAAATCAGATTTCAATATATTTTGTATATAATCTGCCTATCTTAAATAAGTATTTCACTGTGTTTAGAAGCGAGAAAGCAATAATTGAAATGAGAGAGAAAATAAGAATTAAAAAAATAATTAAAATAAGAAATATAATTATATAATTTTATTATTAAATAATTATTTATACACAATAACTATTTCAAATTCTGTATATTTTTTAATATTTTTATCATAGAATCAAATTTTATATCAATATTTTTAACAAACTATTTAAAAAAGTCAATTTTTTTATTTAATTCTGTATTCTGCTTCTTTCGCATCAATTGAAAAGTTAAAACAATCACAAAAGTAAGATTATTAATCTTAAAGTATAAAGACATATTTGAATCTTTATTTAAATCTTTAGAAAAGTATTTCTTTTTCACTTGATTGTTCATTCAAAAAGAGATTGGTTATAAATAGTCCCTTATCTCACTACTTTCTGACTCTACTAATTTATTTTTATTCTAAAATAACTAACAAATCATTAAATTATTTTAAATTTTTCTAAATATCTTATATTGCTCACAATTCTCTTAAGATTTATCATTTTTTTTTGATTAAGCTCTTGCTGCTTCACGCTATTTATAATCTTAATCTAGAATTCTAATGCTTAATTTAGTTCAATATTAAGAAAAGCATTGCTAAATATATTTTTCTTTCTCTTTTTTTTCGTTCTTATTTGCTAATTAATAATTTAATAATTTTTTTAAACTGCTGAAATATTTTGTGAAGCTTCTTCGTTATAAAAGTAGAATAGTTTTTTAAAAATCTCCCTTTATGAAATTTCTATTTTGATAATAATTTTGATATTAAATATACTATTTTATAACGTAAAACTATTTTTACTAATTAAAACCAGATTTTTTTTATTTAATCTAATTGTTTGACAGCAATATTCAATAATTTATTATTTTTACTTGTCTATGTCAACTTGAACTTGGAAAGATTCTAATTTAGATACAAAAAGGCGAGATTTTAAAAAATTAAAAATATGAGAATTAATTGTTGGAGTAATAGAATTAAACATTATAAAATCAATAAATAAAGGTTTTTTAAAGATTGCTTTAAAGTCAATATATATAGATCGTGAAACAACAAAATTATATTTTAATTGTTTTGAAAATTTAAAAATATACAATTATATTCTTTTTTTTATCAAATATATATATAAACATTAACACAGAATTTTTGTCAGATAACCGTTTAAAACAAAATATTATTATTTCTATTATTACTATCTATCTTTATTACATGTTTTTATCAATTATATCACTAATACAATCTATATGGTTTATACGGCCCAATTTAGCTATTATAATTAGTTGATTATATCTTTTGCACACTTAACAATTCTATACGCAATTAAATACACACATTTAAAAAACGCCAATTCAATTCCGGTCATTGCTAAAGTTAAATATCTTTTTTTTGTTTCTCCGCGAACTATTTCATTAGACAAAAAAAAGCTTTTTATATCAAATAGCTCTATTTCAGCATATAGATATATATATATATATAATATTTATAAATCTTAGTATCGATTTCTTCACTCGCGAAATATGTAACAAAACGCATATAATATACGTCTATTTGTATAGTATTCGCCCACGCGTTGAGCCACGGAGCCTCATATTAATTATATAAATCCTATTTTAGTATATCTAAAATAAGAGCTTAGTTAACAAAAAATCTCACTATACTAGATCGAGCGATATTGTCAATCTCCAGAGATTGGCAGCGATAATTGCCCATAACAAACATTTTATATACCATGACAGTCGATGATATTGCCGCATTCGGTTGCCAATGCCTCTACTAAACTCTATATGGAATATTGCCACTGCCACTGCCAGGCTGCTTAACACCTCTATAGCCTTAGCCACTGCAGGATGTACCGCGCGATGCAACCAACATGCATGCATGCAAGCCAGAAGGGATGCATCACCTCCGGATATTCCATCCCCAGATAATTCCAGTCTTGCTATTCCCTCAAAGGCTGCGGGGTAACATTGTTGGCCCATCAGCCACGAGATGCCATCACCAGACAATCGGAACTTATTGTCCAGGCGTCATCCCTGCATGTAGGGATCCGGTTTAGTGAGCCATTTCCTCCTTCGCGGCCGGTGAGGCTTTTCTCTCAAGTCCTCTGACGAGCAGTCGTGGGACTGAAACGGGTTGGTCCTACCACCTAGTGGCGGGGAATTTTGCTGACTGGATTCCAACCCGCTCGGCTTCATCACATCGCCGTGTAACCCTGCAGGGGCTAAAGACCGGTCAAAGGTCCCCGTGACGCGCCATGGCTTGCATTGATTCTCCGTCATTGGTCAGGCCATCCTTCTCCAGCCCCAGATTCTCCGTTGTGAAGGATGAGGGAATTTATGCACTGCGTTAGAACGTTTGAGTCACGTTGAGCCTTCGCCTATGGTGAAGTCAGTTGCATATCCCAATCGACTCCATTCATTATGGATCTCGGGGCAACCTCCTTCCGACTTGATGCTGTTTGTTACGTCAGTTGGGCAGAAGAAGCCATCCGCAATGATAAAAAGGATATATGTCAGTAAGCATGTGAAGAAAATAAACAAAATAAAACAAATCTAGCGCGTGTTCCAAAATTGGATAAGTGTGTCAGTCGCAGAAATCATTAGCAATTCAAACCGATCAGATCACCAGTGAGATCTAGGAAGTAGAGAGACAATTCACTGTAAACTAGTTGTAGTCATTGTTCAACACTCCATTCAGTAAATTGCGGCTCTGTTCACAAGCCTTGGATCCGAAAGCCCATCAGAGAACAGAGGCAGAACAAAGGAAATAGAAAGCCCAAAGTACAATCACAGTACAGCAAAAGCAGAAACATAGCTCACAGAACTATCGTTAACATCAACCACATCCGAGCTTCTCTCGTATCTAACGAAATGGAACTTCCCGGTCCTTCCATCGTCTGGGCGTGCAATTTGTTCAATGGCAGCCATAATCACGCCGATAGGATGGCGGCCGCAAACAGTGTTTTCCGTAGCCTGGATGGTGTCCAGGAAGGTTGCAGCCGAGCCCGTCGTGATGGCCGCCATGGTGGCGATATCGAACGCCGAGATACTCTCATGGATGGCGGGCGCACCGGTCTCGACGCGGTCCCGACGCTGCAAGGACTTCCCAGCAGACACCAAGCCCATCTTGGCCTCAACGTCGCTGATCTCGCCACCAGGCTGGGGCAGGGCATCGGCGGAGAGGGGAAGCTCGGGGCCCGGCTGGGGAGCCTGGGGAACGTAGTATGTATAACGGAAACGGAGGCCCCAATGGCAGAAGTCGGAGCTAATGACAAACGCGTTCTCGGGGTCCTCAAGGTATGGCGCCAGTAAAGCCCCGAAGGCGCTCTCGGTGGAAGCATTTGTGCTTCCTACCAAGATCGGCACCAGTGGCGGGTATTCAGAGGTGGGTTTATCTGGGTGATACAACTGCAAAAGACGGTGAATGTACGGCAAATGAAGCTCTATGCTATGTTCATCCTCGTCCATGGCTCTAGTCATCGTCGCGAAGCTCAGAGACGTCCCGCTTGGCTTTTTTGCTTTGGTCGCGCGGAGCTTAGCGATAACCTCCGTGTCCAGCGGCAGAGGGTCGTCGGAGAGCGGGGTAGAGTACGAGGTGAGTTCTGGCAGAGCCAGTGTCGGGAGATAGTGGTGGTGGGATGGTCCCAGAATGAAAATACGCTTCCTGGTCACACAGAGTTAGTCGAACGAGGACGGGTTTAGATTCTAGCATGAGAAGTCCAGCTTACGCTTTCGACAAATCCCAGGCCTTGTACGCGTGAGCGGCACAGGGTCCAGAGTACGCATAGCCCGCATGCCTGCCAGGATCAGCAACAGGAAATAGCAAGATTCGATGCGGAAAGTATCCTCCAGTACGTACGGAGCAATGATAATTCGGGCACCAGGCACGGGTAGTGAGCCAATATTCTCAAGCTCCCCCGGAGCTTGCGCTAACCATTGGTCAAGTTGGCGGGCAAGAGTGGATTGACTGCCAGAATACCACGAGCCAGCGTGAGTAGCTTCCCGGGGTTGCATTTTGATGATTTTCTTGTGTCTGGATTTACCAACGAACGGGAGGAAGCCGGAGATTCTTCGCTTGATCGAAAGTTGGAGATCGACTGCCATCGACTGAGGAGGCAGAAGGCAGAAGAAGCGGGGAAGCCGAAGGGGAAAAGCGGAGGACATGACGTCTGTGCCTAAGGCCCCCACGGCGGGATGCCGCCCCTCGGCATGCCGACTGACCTGTCTCTTTTATTTGTCTCTTTAATTCTAAAAAGAAAGGGGTTGATATTAATCTGAGAGTCTATTGGCAAAGGCAAGGCATGTTGGGAAATATCTTCGTGTCCATTTCTGTGGAGAATGTGCTTGCATTGGCAGGCTATGGTACCCCGCAATATCTTAGTGCACACTGGTACATACTATGAGACGTATGATGCATGCCCTGATTAACCACCCAGAGGCGAAAACAAGTTTATCCCAGGGTTTGCTATGCTTTTGCCTCACTTGATCTCGGGATGAGCCATTGGTGGAGTATCGACCGGGTCATTCTACTCGAACCAATTCGATACCCAGACTGGGCGCATATAGAAATTCGACGGCTTTGGATCCCCAGCGCGTATGAGCCACATTCCATTCGCTCTTGCTAGTATAACTAATCCGGTTTGCCCCATGGTAACTCATGTCCGACCTTCCATGGCCAGGCAGGACTAGTTTCTAGACCACGGTCTTGTCTACCATCATTGCGCATGGTCCATTCCGGCAAACCAATTCTACAGCACTCCAATCTACCATTTCAGTTGCACCTCGCGGTTCCGACTTTCCAAGGACAGGTCATTTTCCGAAGGTTGCCAAGTGTGCTGCCTAGCATCATGCGCTGTCTTATGCAGTTTGTTCAAACGGCACCTCTAACTCGTTCCACTTCAATCGGCAATGACTCATACAATTGTCACGAGGACATGCAAAAGAAAGTGTCGCAGACAATATGCATGATGACTTGAAGCCAAGGTTGGTATATCGGCGATTAATCTCAAATGTGGGTTCAATATCCGGATTGAGCTTGTGTCTGTCAGCTTGTGGGTGTTCGATGCTTCGTCCGTGACCTTGGTCGTAGATAAACAGTTTCTTTGCGCTCTGGAGTAGATTGCCAGTCTCATATCCTCGAGGTTCATCTTAGTGAAATCTCCAGTAGGGTTTCTTTCTGCTTCCCAACAGACGGTCCGATAGCACCAAGCACAGCATTTGAGATATTAGAAGGACCACTAAATTCAATTAAACGTCATCAATATCTATTCTTTTCTGTCATTCTTCTTTCTAATCTTATCTAGAGATTGTAGCGGAATCCACCATGGAAGAAGCAACCTCAATGTGCGGGTTTGCTGCTGTTTTGGTTACTCGTATACATCGCCGATGTCGTGATTTTCGAAACGGTCATCAATGGAACGCATGCGGTCAATTGGCATCAGTTACCACTGGCTAGTGCCGAACGGCAAACACCGGGTGTCACCTGAAGATACAGAGGTGGAACGTTGGACGAGGAATATGAGATGACAGTCTCAGCGGCTGTTGCCGGCTATCAGCAAGTCATGACCACATATGCATGCAGCAAGGGGCCACCTCGAGCCTCGCTGCAGTTTTTCAGCGCATCTATTATGGAAGTGGGAGGTGTTCGAGTCCTGGCATGACGGCCTTTTAGGGAAAGCTTCATCTGGCACTCCAGGATTATGACGAGGTCAAGTGATGGACTTGAGTGTGTTTGTCACATTTGACGAGTCTTCTGCAGAGAAAATATGGCAAGGATTCCGGATAGGACAGTTTTTGTTTTAACTAATGTCAATATCCGATGACCTGAAATGTGTAATTAGGCGATCGTCGATGTAGCACAGGTATGTGAATCCATCAGTACTGAGGTTCTCGAAAGCAAAGGTGGTTATAGAACCTCGTCGACGGCATCAATTAAGCCCGAAGTGGACTAGCGCATATTTTGGGGGTCGCGACGGCAGTAACGGTAACTACGCGGTCTCCCGTATTGTCCGACGCGATGGCCCAGCCCAGCCCCGGCGGAGAAGGCTCCCTCTCCCTCTCCTCTCATGTTTTCGCTACAAGTCATTATTCACACATCGTCCGCATTTGATCCCCCACTATATTGAACGAGAGTCTTCCATTGGTATAATTCACAATAGTCTATTTTCTCTATCATTGCCTTTCAATCCCCACCCTTTCTCCGCAGCGCACACCAGAACAACCATGTCTCTCAAGCGCAAGGCTTCGTTCCCGACCATTGCCTCCCCCAATGCTGAATCATTCACGCTCGAGCATTTGTCAATGGGCGATTCCCCGAAACATCTCAGCAGTCGCACGCGAAAGCGGTTCAGGAACGATCGTCCCGAGGACAAAGTTGTATATGGTACGTGACTACCGAGAAGCGACATACAACAACAGCGACCATTCTACGAGTCAAGCACAACTAACACCCGGCAGAGAATACGCTCCGCTGGCTATTCACAGCCCAGCAGCAACAAGGCCCCGCAGCCTCCCCCGAGGCAGACGAGAACATGGATCTGGCGACGCTCCCCTCGTCGGAGATCGTCGATCCGCGCCAACAAACCCTCCACAAGTTCTTTCAGCCCTCTCAGATGTCGTCGTTCCAGCCTCGCGCGAACCATCTCCATGGCCGGCCCCACGCCAACTCCCCATCCAATGACATCCTCCCGCAACGCCCAGACTTCGATATGGTTTCGACCGTCACTTCGATTAGTCGCGACACCAGCAGTCCATCGTCTCACGGTGCCGGCACCGGAATGGACATGGACATGGATATGGATTCCGGCCGCGACGACTCAGGCCAGGATATCAGGAAGTGGATGGGTGGACACGGATGGATGCCGTAGTGGTCACTCCGGCGCTCACTACCTTTACCATGGTTGATGCCTGCGATACTATAACTTGTTGCGGATATAACACCCTGCCAATCACTGCCGGACATGGTTGGCATCATACCCTATTTGTGTTCAAGATTATACTACTATTTGCGATACTGTTGCATGGCGCTGTTGATTTGATAATATCTATATACGCGATCTGCTGTGCGGTACTGCGGTTTCTGTTTAGCGTTGTTGAAGGGCTTATATTCGTGAGTTAATATAGTATATAATCTAGCCATTTTCAGGTTACATCCTCATTAATTAGATCGATTAAGAACAAAGACTAAGTAATTCTTGGGAGATTTGGTTGTAGATCGGATTTGCAAACTGTTGATCATGTGGTATATGCGCATGACCTACACCAATGCTTGAAGAAAGGTTATAGTTTGTAGACAGACTTCAACTCGATTGTATTGATTGTGCATGACGTCTGCTCGACAGTCAACAGAGAGTGTGAGAGGATCCACTAACGTTTAAACCAGCATATTCCCAACAACCGCAAATCAACATGAACAAAAACCCATGAATAATTATGATTCCCAGCGACACTCCGATGCATGTTGAATACGAAACATCGCGTGGTCCAGACTTTTCCAAAGTTTCCCATATTGCGGGGGTGTCACATGCCCTGTCAAGTACTCCGTAGCATCAAAAAGAAAATAAGAAAATGCAAGGCGGGCAGGGCGGGCGGTCACTCTCCCCGCCGCCTTTCGTTTGCTTCTCCTCCGTAAGGCGGCGCAACAAAGCATTCCCGGAGAACACCAACCGGAATCCATCCAGCCCACTTACACTAACTACCTTCCTAGTCACAAACCCCCCAAACCTGAAGGCTTTTAATTCAATCTTCTTTTTTCTTGCTTGCTCTCCCCTCCGCGACGGCTTTCGCCAAGATTACTTCACCATCCTAGTCGGACTAGGACCCTTTTCCGTGGCAGTTCGCAGAACAGTCCAGACCGCCCGAGGGGGTTTCTAAGTGGTAGATCCCGCCGAGCTCGTGAAGAGGTCAAATCTCAACTACCCCGACTACCCTAAGGTACTAGGGAGGTCACTACGGGGATCGATTGGAAGGATTGGAAAGAACGCCCGTTGGTCGCGATGGATGGCAACCGTGCAGTCCAGTTCCTGGAATCCTTGATTGGCCAGACGCTACGGGTGCACGCGACAGATACGCGCATTTTCGTGGGCAACTTCAAGTGTACAGATGCGGTGGGTGATCCTAGACGTCCCGTTCATTTGTCTGGTTATTTCCCCTGGCGTATCGGGATAAACGCGGAACAAAGAAAGAAAGAAATGAGGCAAAGAATACGAAACCCGAAGACCAGTCGCTGACCTGTCGAGCAAACCCGTCTTTAGGCTCGCAATATTATTCTCGGAAACACCTACGAGTACCGATTTCCCTCCTCGTCAGCCGTTCGAGATGCTGCATCCGATGCCAGCGCGCTTAGTCAGGAAACGGGGATAACGGCGGAATCACCGAGCGTCAAGGTGAATATGACGAGTCGATTTATTGGGTTGGTGGTTGTTCCCGGTCAGCATATCACGAGAATCGAGCTGGAGGAGACCCCACAACAGAGTCGTGTGCGTGAGACGCTCAGGAAACCATAACGGCAGTATTGAAAATGCAGGCCAAGACCCGACTGGCTTCTCATCTTGCGCGCTGGACGCGGAAACCCGGTTTCTCCAGAGGGATGTTGAACGAACCCAGCCAATCATGATAATAGAATCAAAATGGATTGCTTGCCCATATATGGCGTTCTGCATAACTCCTCTCCTGTCGAAGCAGGAATTCCTACGGAGTAGATCCGACCTTCAGCTGGGAAAGACATTTCACCGTGAACTGCCAAGAGAACCCGGGTCGAGGATGTACCACCCCAAACCCTCCCACCAGAACGTGGCTAGGAGAAAAGGGGGGAAAGCTGTTTGTACTTGGCGCAGTACCTCAGGCTTGGCAGCCGCCGCTGCGGCGATGACCTTGCTGAGCTGAAATGGCGGTGTTCCTGCAGTTGGTGGAGTCTGCCCTCCCTACCATCCACTGTACGGGAAGACCTGCTTGCATTCGGAGGAAATTTGATCCAAAAAGAAAAAAAGACAATCTCGCATGGATGGTCTGTGACGGAAGGTCGCTTCTCTCGGCTACAGACGCAGAGAACGGAGGACGTGGTTGGAACATCGGAGGCATTCGGGATCTGGGGGAGGGATGCTTACAAGCTTACCAGCAATCCATGGAGAGATCCGACAGCTGATTATTCGCCCTGCTCTTTCCCAGGCAGAATCCCAATCTTGATGGGATAGAATCGAGGCAGACCTATCAGAATACTGGATGCTTCATGTACTACGGGGCTAGCCAAGAGTCATGGAGGGGGAGGAAGCGAGGGGAGGAGGAAAACGTGGAGTCTGTGCTGCGATGTGTCCAAATTCAATTCCACATTCGGTCGTCACAAGCGTCGTGTTCGTCATGGACGGCAGATGTTGTGACTTGATTTGTTTTTGTTGAATTATATTAGTCTCTGGAGGGGTTTTTATCGGTGAATGATATTTTAGTTTTATTATTCTTTTTCGTTTGTTCTTTCTTTTCTTTTTCGGTGGTAGAAGTGGCAAGCTGCAGGCGATAACCGTATAATAGAACACTTTCCCCCACTATAAAATATACATGTCGATCGCCTGTCAGGGAGTACTCTGGAGAGATACGAAACGCGAAACACGAGACAAATAACATCCCAACATGAAGAACCGAGGGATAAGAGCCCAGCAGCCTCTTAAGTAAGTCGTGAGAAGGTGTACACTTACTCTAATACCTAGTAGTTCATACTTCGCCATCATCGACGGGCCGAGGATTCTTCCGGACAGTCCCAGTCGGAGGAGAATCGAGACTTTCCAGCGACAGGCCGAGCTTGGAGGCGAGAAGCAGACGGTGACAACCAGCGGAAAAGTCACCTTCCCATTATTCTTCGGCTTCCTCTACCTACACTCTTCTCTCCTTCTCTACTCAACGTCTCCCATTCAACCCCAAATCTACTCGACTTTGGGCCAACTTCACTTCATTTGTCAATATTCATTCCCCCGATTTCCCCCCAACTGTGAGTTCCCTCCTTGCCTTACCAGTTACTACCGACCGGCCCGCCCATCCATTCCATTCTCCATCCCCGTCTCCATAATCGTCCATAATAATAATGACGCATTCCTCCATCCCTCCCCTCCACCGACTTAACTCAAATTATCCCCCCGTTCAGACTCTCGCTTACACCCCCTACCCGCCCTCCACATACCATCTGGGAGCTTCGTGTGCTTCCCATCCCCCGCCCCAAGCTGTCCTTGCCCTTTAGTTTCCTGAGGCTGTTATCGTCTGCCGTTGGATCTTCTAACCGTTATCGCCTGCTTGCCTAGGTAACAGGAGCTTTCCCTGTCGGCGAATCGGAACTTTCCCTTCCGACAAACTACCTTAAGGCGCTACCTACTAGGTAGCTCGAGGTGGCTTTGTGTACCATTATTGTTATGCCAACAATTTGATCGAACGTCCACCCACCCCCTCCCTCCCTTTCATCTGATTGTCCACCGTCAAGCTTGGCAGACATTCAGCCCGTTGCAGCAATGGGTCAGTCGCATTCCAAGGGCAACTCCGGCCCTGGAGACTCGTTGCAGTCTTACCCATCCTTCTCTCGCTCCGACACCAAGGAGTCCATCCGATCTCTTCGCGGCTCCATTCGCTCCAAGATCCGCAACAATGATAGCCCACGAGGTTCCACTTCCGCCCTGTCTCGAACGGAAAGCCAGACAGACAAGTCGGACGCCGGGTCGGTCAGGTCGGTCAGGTCGGTCGGCAGTCGACGCAGTTCCACAAACATGAGCGCTCAATCCCCGGCTGCAGACGACTCCACCGCCGGTCTCGACGCACCGGAACCTCCTCCCTCCCCTTCGTTGTCGAACAGCCTGAAACGAGGCCATAAAGATGTGAACGCGATGCAGCAGAGCGGTGAAGTCGACCATGTCTCCGATGCCCCCCCGACCGCCGGTGCTGCCCCCACTGGATCCTCGCAGGCCGTCGGCGAATCCATCCTGATCAAACGGGAGGGTCAGTTGAATCCGATCCTAGACTTCATCATGAACACACCGCTGGAGGCCGCCTCCTCGCCCGGAATGGGAATGGGTGCACTCAAGTCCATTGACCTGGATGACATGATCACTCGTCTTCTCGATGCCGGCTATTCGACCAAGGTCACCAAGACTGTTTGCCTCAAGAATGCAGAGATCACGGCCATCTGTACCGCGGCTCGGGAGCTTTTCCTGAAGCAGCCTGCCTTGTTGGAGCTTTCGGCACCCGTCAAGATCGTGGGAGACGTGCATGGCCAGTACACCGACCTTATCCGACTGTTCGAGATGTGTGGATTCCCGCCGACATCCAACTACCTTTTCTTGGGCGATTATGTGGATCGTGGCAAGCAGAGCTTGGAGACCATCCTCCTCCTCCTTTGCTATAAGCTCAAATACCCCGAAAACTTCTTCCTTCTCCGCGGCAACCACGAGTGCGCCAACGTGACCCGAGTGTACGGTTTCTATGACGAGTGTAAGCGACGTTGCAACATCAAGGTGTGGAAGACCTTCATTGATACCTTCAACTGTCTACCTATTGCGTCTATCGTAGCTGGCAAGATTTTCTGTGTCCACGGCGGACTTTCCCCAAGTCTCTCGCACATGGATGATATCCGTGGTATTGCCCGTCCGACGGATGTGCCCGATTACGGTTTGCTGAATGATCTTCTGTGGAGTGATCCTGCCGACATGGAGGAAGACTGGGAGCCAAACGAGCGTGGAGTAAGCTATTGCTTTGGAAAGCAGGTCATCATGAATTTCTTGCAACGACATGATTTCGATTTGGTGTGTCGAGCGCACATGGTAGTCGAAGACGGCTATGAGTTTTACCAGGACCGGATCTTGGTGACGGTGTTTTCTGCGCCTAATGTAAGTGGATACAATGTCTCCTGCAAAGACGTTGCATATCGTTCTTAGGTTGTGAACTTTTGGCTAACGGTGTCTTCCTAGTACTGCGGTGAATTCGATAATTGGGGCGCTATCATGTCGGTTTCGGGGGAGTTGTTGTGTAGTTTCGAGTTGCTTAAACCGTTGGATTCTACGGCCCTAAAGAACCATATTAAAAAGGGACGGAATAAGCGCAACAGCATGCTGAGCAGTCCTGTAAGTTTTGTCCCTTGCTTGGATTGCTTTCCTTTTCCTTTTCGCCAAGGACCAACGCCCGCTTCCTTGTGCAACCCTGCCGAGAG